GAGGCATCAATAACCATCTATTACATATTCAAGTGTAAGCAGGCTAAAAAGTAAAGGTGCTGGAATACCAATGGAACGGATATTTACAGCCAGGTTTGGCCGAATCTCCGATGACTCTCAGGCACCTCCTGGGAAATTGGCCTTGTCACCTCAAAGTCCACCCCCTTCTGGGCTGGGTCACCTACATGACCACCAGACTTTAGCTTCAAATGACTGTTTCCAAAATTCCACTTTAAAAACATCATTTGCATCCATGAATTTGCTTAAAGGAATGTGATTTGAGCTCTATCTCATTTCTGAAGAGGGTTGTGGCAGCATTTGGGAATGACAACCTGGCCTGAGGACAGGAAGTGGCTGCACCCTCTGGTCTGCCATTAAAAGTGGGGGGTAACGCTGAGTATCCCTCGTACTCATGAGAACGTAGAATTAGGTGCAGCTAAGCATGGTGCAGTGCATACCCCACCAAACTCTGGTGCAATGTGTACTCCCACCAAACTCTTCCCATACCCCTGGGGGTACGCGTACCACACTTTGGGAAACACTGTCTTAGGGGGGTTGCAAACTCACAGTCCCATAAGTGTGCTGTTTGGCTTGCGTAGTGTGTTGGGGGTGTTTCTGTTGTTTTGTCTGCCAGCATTTTCAAATGAGGATTGTTTACATGAAATCCTCACTTCTGTCTTATCTTGGAAATTTGTGACATTGAAGTTCCCTCATGGCCACAGCAGGCTGAAGTGGACCATCACAGTGAGGACACAGCCAGCCTGCCCTTGACCACCCAGCCACTCCACTGGCCACCAGAATGTGTGTGTGGCAACTCCTGGCTTGTCTTGGAATCAGGTGGAATCTCTGAAAGGGATCTCACTTTCCCGGGAGGAGCTGTGGGGTGGGGGTGGGGGCACCTGGCGGGTGAGTGGTGACTAATGCTTTCTGTGGGCAGGCAGGACTCCTCCTCCACACAGCTTTAAAGAGAGAAGAGCTTGTTCCCCTGCAATATTCTCTGGACGACGGACGCTCCCAGGGCTGCTGAGGGTCCCCAGGGTCTTTCTAGGGTTTGCTGAGAACAACATTGTGCCTCAGAAGAAAACCGAGCTGTCCCTAAGGCTGCCCCCTTAAACCCAGTGGGCGGAGCTGCTGGGGCCCAGGATCTCTAAGGAGCTTTTCATAGCAGGACAGATCTGAGGACAGACCGGCTTTGACTCCAGTTGCTTCCCAGTGTCAGTGTCGGGGAGGCTGTCTGGGTTGGACCAAAAGGAGATATTTTGAGGCAAAGCCGTTTCCAATTTCTACATTTGGAAAGGTCTCTGGTTGCTTAGGCACACTTATGATTGGGCAATATACGTATTTCAAATGAGCCTTAAAAGAATACCACTCTTGCCAAAACCGGTTTGGCTCAGTGGATAGAGCGTCGGTCTGCGGACTGAGGGGTCCCAGGTTCGATTCCAGTCAAGGGCATGTACATTGGTTGCGGACACATCCCCAGTGGGGGGTGTGCAAGAGGCAGCTGGTCAATGATTCTCTCTCATTGACGTTTCTAACTCTATCCCTCTCCCTTCCTCTCTGTACAAAATCAATAAAATATATTTTTTTAAAAAGAATACCACTCTTTAGGGGCGGCCAAGGCCTCATCAGTGGCACAGTACGAGGTGCTGGGAACCTGTCAGCAGAATTCTGCTCTGCTTTCTGGGGCCATTTCTTACCTGGGGAAGAACAGCTGCTAATACTGGTGGGGACGTTTTCTGTGGATCCTGGCGAAGCAATCAGCAAGAGGAGGAAGGAGGGAAGCCCTTCTCTGGTAATTGTATGGGGGTTTGGAGACTCTTGGCCGAAATCCATACAAAGGGGTGAAGCCAGCCAAGATGATGGTGACGGGGACCAGCGTGGGCTGCTTTCAGAGTCCCTGCCTCTGCCACCTCTGGCAGCCTGTTTTCAGGTTCTGGGGTGCCTTTCCCATGCAGGTCAACTTGTGTGGAACACACATTTGCTGTCGTCATCGTTTATACCTTAGGGTTCGTGGTCATTGAAAGGGAGAAAATGTTTAGTGACCCTTTAACTTGCATCGGTGGTTTGTGGGACTGGTTTGGGGGTGCAGGGTGGTCACAGCATCTCCATTCTGGCAACACCTCAAGGCATGACCCGCTGCTTTGGCAAGAGGCATTTTCTTCCCTTTCCTGCAGGCTCATTCGCTCAGCCCTACACAGCTGGCCACCCCATATGACTTCCACCTCATATGACCAATTTATCTGCCTTAAAACAGAAAGTTCCAGAGCCCGCCCCCCTCACTCTCAGGCAAACTAGGACAGTTGGGTCACCCTACTCCCTGTCCAGCCTGGCCCTGCCACTGTGTCTCAGGCTGGGGCTGTGGTCCCCTTTGCAGAGGAAGAATCTGGACCTAGGGCCCTCCGAAATCCCCTTTCTGCTGACTCCACCCCTTGTTCTGTCCACTCCTCAAGCGCCTTCGGCCCCTGGGGTGGGATGGGCCACCCTCCTGAGGCAGCTGCCCTGGCAGTGGGCACAGCACCTCCCCTCAAGTGTTCAAGGCCTTCAGGTCCCACCTGTAGGGCTGGGGTCAGGGAGGGGGAGTTCTGCAAGGATTCTGCCTGCATCTCCACCTGGGACCAGGGCAAAGGCCAGCTTCCCCCACCCCATGGGGGCGAGGACTGCCGTCTTTCAGGATTGCTCCTGGCTGGCTGCAGTTGGGACTGCGGTTTCCCACCTTCCGGACCACTGAGGGGCCTGTCAGGTTCCACAGTGATTCTAGGCCGCCTCCACTCCCTTGGCTACAGGTACCAGTAGATAGAGCACTGGTTCGAGAAATGGCTGAGAAGGCAGCTTTGAGGGCCTGAATGAGAGGCAGGGAATGGCGAGCCCAGGTGCCTGTGGGTGCCCTCATCAGGGTGTCAGGGGATAAGGCTGGCACGGGCGCTTTTCCAGGAACCCCAGCTTCCTGTTTGCCAGAGCCCAGGCCATATCTCCCTTTCTGGCCTCGGAGAAGCCCAGGCTCTCTTACCTGTGTACAGCAACCAAGAAGGATGGCCTCGTGGGTGGGGGCTGGAGAGCTGAGGCCTCACTGTTACCCTGGGCAAGTCACACCAGTGTCCCTGCCCACAGACCCCTGATCTGCCCACCATACCAGCCTGGGCAGCTCAGGGCACTTTGCCACAGTGGGAAGTATGACGGAGGAGGGAAGGTTGGTTTCAATTCTCTGCTGAGGGTCAGCCTTGGTGGTTCCAGTGGCTCTGAGAGGCTGACCCTGGCATATGGCCAAGGAGGGACCAGCAGGTTCACACACTCATGTGGGGCAGGCAAAGCCACCCTCCACAAAGGACACTGGGTCAGTCATCCTCAGCCACAGCCAGAAATGTGAAAGGTGGAAGATTTTATTCTGGAGAAGAGTTGCCAAAAATACTCATCTGTGATATGGGGATGGGTAGGGATGGAGGCTGGGGCTTCAGCGCCAGTGTCTGCCCAGGCAGCATAGACCTGGGTCAGGAAGAGCTTGGCCCCATTTGGATACAGTCCTTGGAGAGAGAAAAGAGAAGTCAGGGTTGGGAGTGGTCACCAGTAAGGAGCTGGGGGACATGAGGAAGGGGCAGGCACACAGTGTCCCTGGACTCCAATGGCCACCAGTTCTAGGAGTGCTCCATGTCAGTTCCCTGGCAGAGCCTTGAGCCTCTCAGTGCCTCCCCCCTTCCCCCCAGCAGGCTCCCACCCCAACAGCTCACCCCCCACCTCACTCCCAGCGGCCTCTAGTGGATGTTGGGGGGTGGGTCATGGTCTGATACTACCCAGAGGGAAGACTTTTTCAGCCTGTGAAATGTGATGGAGTATCAGAAATGCACAAAGGGCAGAGCACATCTGGACAGGTGAGGGAGTGAAAGCCCAGAGGGAGAAGGGAGGGAGGGATAAGCCACCCAAGGGGAGAAATCAAGCTAGGCGTGGACTCTGCAGGCCCGCAGGCAGGTGTGAGCTCAGCTCTGCGACCCGACAAGGGCCACTAAACTGCCGGCTTGGAATGTTCTGGCCTCCCAGTTTGCTCTGCTCCACCAAGCGCATAGACCGTTCACATGGGAACCAGCCTCGCCTCGCGGGCGTGCAGGACCCAGCCCTGGATGCAACAGAGCAATCCTGGACTCTTCCTGGGGCATCGCTCCACGTCCTTCAGGGATTCATTAGAAGTAAATACAGATAGCCAATTTCTTCACTTCATAAAGTAATTACTGGTGGAAATAATCAATACACATTTTTTAAAAATGCGTGCAGTAGCCTTTGGTTCCTAAGAGAAAATTAGTCCTGCTAGAAATCATGGCCCCAAAGAAAATGGGCAGTGGCTGGAACTGGAACTGATACTGATGAAATCATTTCAGCAAAGTGGAAAGTGTTTTAAAACCACTTTAACTGTGCTTTCTGAAAATTGGTCAGGGAGCCCTGACCAGTGTTTCTCAGTGGTTAGAGTGTTGGCCCGAGCACAAAAAAGTTATGGGTTCAATTTCTGGACAAGGGCATGTACCTGGGCTGCAGGTATCATCCCCATCCCGGTGGAGTCACATGTGAGAGACAACTAGTCAATGTGCCTCTCTCACATCGATGTTCCTCCCCTACCCCCCACCCCTACCCTACTCTCTCTAAAAATTAATGGAAAATAGCTTTAGATGAGGATTAGCAGAAAAAGAATTGGTTAAGGAACTAGATTGGCTTAGTGGAAAATTCAATCTAGAAAGCTGGCTAAGAAGGCTAAGAAGGCTAACGTAGGCTAAGAAGGATTGCATTGTCTTTATATGCAGAGGGTTAACAGCCACTAGGTCACAATGAATCCCTTATGGAGACCCCCTCCCCTATGTCCCAGGCCCCTGCACATTCCCCAGGCCAGGCTCAGCGCCTGGTCTTGGTTGGCAGGGGGGGTGGAAGGGATGGTGGGGGCAAAGGGTACAGGGATGGTGGGGGCACAGGGTACAGGGCTCACGGGTGGTTGGGCTCCTAGGTGGGCTGCGGGCTGGCCAGGACTAGAGGCGCTGAGGCCTTGGATGCCTGGTGGACGCTGAGGCCTGCTGGGGGTCCTGCAGGTTTGGTATCAGCGGAGGCAGCAATGTCAAGGGTGGCAGAGATGGAGTCTGAGCTTGTGTCGTTGAGTGGGAGCCTGAAGTCTCTGGGCGGATGCTGGCATTGGAGCGCAGGGCTGGGAGGGGCAAGAGAGACCCGTGATTTGTCCTAAGGACATTCTGGGTAGAGGCAGACCTGACTAAGGAGCGGAGAAACCCTAAGCTGGAAATGCTTCATCACGGCTCACCCAGTCACAAGCACCCTAAACCTCCAGGGTGAGGGGTGACCCAAGATAAGGCACATCAGGAGGGGAGCAGGGCACCCGGAGGACTCCGGCTCTGGCATGCCTCAGCTCAGGGTCGCTCTGCCTCAGCTCTCCCTCTTTCAAATGGACTGGCAGTGCCCACCTGCCCAGCTGGAATCAGGACAGATCAGAAGGGAGAGAGTGCATTGTCCATAAAGTGCCCATAAATGCCTGGTACAGGGCGATATGAGTCAGGGGAGCTCGGTTCCCCAGCCTGGTCAAGGAGCCTTGACCGGGGGAGGGCAGCTCACAGGGCTCCAGCAGAGAAACACTGGAGAATGAACGGGCTCCCTTATCCCACCTTTGCAACCAACTGGCCACTTGGGAAAAGACAGCCGGCCTAGGTGCCCAGGCCAGGAAGCCAAACTGAAGAGTGAAGCAGGAGCCCAGAATGGGAGCTGGGAGCTGGGTGCTGGGTGGGGGCCACTCCAGAGCATTGAGAGATATACAAGGTGGGGCAGGACAGCCCCAGTCGGGATTGAGGGGCCCAATCAGAATCCCAGTTGGGCCAGAGACTTGGGCGGTCAGGTACTCACGGGGGCAGATGACATCAAGGCGCTCATATATGTTTCGAGTTGGGGGACGTGGACCCTTCACAGCTTAGTGGAAAAGAGGGGAAGAGACACGAATGGGTGGAGGCTCTTCCAGAGACCTGCCCCCCCACCTCCCAGAGCCTCCACCCTATTCTCTAGCTCCTTGCAAAGGCCTTTTCAGTCTGGTGGGACTGCCATTTCCCAGGCCACCCCATCCCGTGAATACACCTGACCCTCCACCCCCATTTGTGTATGGAAGGACCATCCCTCGCCACCTTCTTGAGCTTCTTAAATCTAAGGTAACAGAAAAAGGCTTTTTGAAAGTAATCCAGGCCCGGGGGGAGACAGTAAGATACAGGTGAAATGTTGGCAGGGCTACTTACAGGTTAGATGTCTGGCAGTTCTTTAGATCTTCCCCCTCGACTGAGGGCCAGACCATCTCAGTGCCCCCACCCCATCTTCCTGTCTTTCATCTCGTGTGTGCATTTCCCCCCCACATAACATAAAATTAGCCATTTAAGGGGAACAATTCGGTGGCATTAAGTTCATTCACAAGGTTATGCAATCACCATCTCCATCTAGTTCCAGAACATTGCATTACCCCAAAAGCACACCCCATACTCATGAGGCAATCATCCCCTCTTCTCCCCTCTTCTCCAGCCCCTAGTAACTGCTAATCTGCCCTCTGTGGCTGTGATTTGTCTGTGCCGATGTCTCATAGCAGGGGGGTTATACAATGTGTGGTCTTTTGGGTTTGGCTCCATCCTCCACTTTTGAACCCAAAAACTACCATGACTAGCCATCCAAAATCCAGACCAAAAGCCGCTGCAGAAGAGGACGTAGGGATGTGCAGTAAAAGAGGCCATAAGAACGAAGATGGAGGGATGAGGAGGAGAGGGGAGGTCCAGGAGGCAGCTAAGCAGGGCACAGGCGAGAGTTAAGGGGCACCGGGCTCCTTCCTGGGCGAGACACCAATTGTTCCTTCTGCCTGAACAGCTGTCCTGACAATTCCTGCCTCAATGTCCCTTCCCAGATAGTCCTTTGGACACCCCCTCAACAGGGACCTCTCCCTGGTCATTCTTCCTCCCACCCCCTGTTCATCCAATTTACTCACTGACTTATGACTTATTCATTTACATTTCACCATCCCTACGGAGTAAAAATTCTAAGGGAGCAGTCGCTTTATTTTGATTATACTGAGTTTCCCCAGCAGCTTCTGAAACACACCTGACACTGAGGGCTGAGCAATGACCTGGGCCAGGTGGCAGCAGGAAGGGCCACACGGGTCACACGGATCTTCGGGAAGCACAGGCGTGAACAGCCTCCGCCTGTTAGCACCTCAGGGTTGGTTAGTACCCGGGGTCTGTGAGCGCACTGGGTCTGCTAGCAGCTCAGTTTGTTAGCAGCTGGGAGTCTGTTATCCCTTCAGGGTCTGTTAGCACTTCCAACCAGTGACGAGGACGGGAGCACAGGCCTGGCCATCTGCTGGGCTGTCTGCTCAGAAGCTCCCCACTGGGCTGGCCTGGACCTCATCAAGTCTGTGTACTGTCTGAGGGGCTCTTCCTGCTCCCTTCCGTTCCTTCTTCCTCTCTGAATGCCTTTCCTTCCGAACCTCTTGTATTCCTAACTGTCGCAGAGCCTACAACCTCAAGGACCCAACTGGCACCACCTTGATTCCCCATGAGCCCCTGGGATCCGTAGATTGGGTCATGTCCCTGGAACCTGAGTTAAGAACCACCACCCGTGTGCTTGATGGGTTCTGCGAAAGAGCAAATGCCTGGTTGAGGGGTGCTTCCTGGCCCCCACTCTGATTCCCAGCTGGCACCTGTACCCCTCCACGAGTCAGAGATGGGACCTGCCAACTAGCTGGCCAATAAGACTGTCAAACTGCTTTCTTTCAAGGTAAGGGATATGGACCCAGGGTACAGGTTCCAAATAGACACAGCGAGGCCAGGGAGCCCAGCTGCTGACCCAGCACTGTCCCTGACGTCCCCCACAACCTTGGACTCTTCATGTCCAGACCCGAACTCACCACCTGACCCCAACATCCGCTCCTGCTGGGCTCTTCTCTGAGCTTTCCCACCTCTGCATCAGCCAGGAGACTCCCAATGGGAGGGACACTGAGCCCTGGCAAATAGGAAAGGCTCTCCAGGGGTTCCGGGCTGAGCACAGTGTGGACAGAGTCCAAAGGCAAGAATAGCTTGGCTCATGAGAAAGAGCGAGAGAACAGTTCCATGAGGTTGGATGGAGGGGGCAGAAAAAGCAAGGGGGTCAAGGGACCCTGGAGATCAGCATCTGGACTCTGATGCCCATGTCCTAATTCCCAGAATCTATGAATACACCACCTTATATGGCAAAGGGGACTTTACAGATGTGACTCAATTAAGAGATTTTGAGACAGGGAGATGATCCTAGATTACAGAGTCCTTATGAGGGAAGCAGGAGAGTCAGAGTCAGAGAAGGAGATGTGAGAATGGAAGCTAAAGTCAGAGTGATGCCCTCCGAAGATGGAAGAAGGGGCCACGGAAGGCAGGAGGCCTCTAGAAGGTAGCAATGGCAAGGACACAGATTCTTCCCCAGAGTGAACAGCCTCCGAAGGAACCAGCCCTGCTGACAGCTCGATTTCATCCCAGAAGACTCGTTTCAGATTTCGGACCTCAAGAACTAAGACAAAATGTTGTTTTAAGCCACTCGGTTTATGATAATTCGTTACAGTAGCCCCTCTGAACTGGGACGGGCCTGGCCAGAGGTGTGTGTAGACAATTCACCCAGAGCTGGTGGGGAAGGTAGAGGCTGGAGACAAGTCTCCTACTTCCTCAGTTCTACCTTCTGCCTCTGTGCCCCTGCCATCGCTTCTTCCGCGTCCTACCCATGCTTAGCCCTCTGTGGAGATTCCAGCCTACTGACTACCAGCCTCAGCATGCCTGCCACCCTCCTGCTGAGGCATCACTCACTGGGGAATAGGTGTTCCTCTGTCCTGAGATCCTGACCACAGTACAGGCATCTGGAGACCTGTACTCCCTCAGTACCCCCGGGGACTGACAAAGGCTGAATGCACAGCAGGATACAGTAGAAATGTTGGGATGAACAGACAAATGCATCTGTGACCAGGCTGCACCAGGGCGGGACTCATACCAACTGGTTGAGATTTAATAATAATTGTTTTGGATTAAAATGTTCTCTTGAGTAAATAAATGAGTGCTACGAGCACACTGGTCAAAATATCTGGCCACAGATAAGCGTCTAATTGATTTTTGTTGTTGTTAATCCTTACCCAAGGATATATATTTTTAAAAAAATATATTTATTATTGTTTTCAGAGAGGAAGGGAGATGGAGAGATAGAAACATCGATGATGATAGAGAATCATTGATTGGCTGCCTCCTGCACACCTCTCCTGGGGATCAAGCCCAACAACACAGACATGTGCCCTTCACCAGAACCTGGGACCTTTCAGTCCAAAGGCCAATACTCAATCCATTGAGCCAAACTGGCTAAGGCCCAAGGATATTTTTTCCATTGAATTTTAGAGAGAGGAAGGATGGTAGGGAGAGGGAGAGGGAGAAAGAGAAACATTTGAAGGAGCCCTGACTGAGGCCAAGGATCAAACCTGCAACCTAGGTACATGACCTTGCCTGGGAATTGAACCTGTGACCCTTAGGCATGCAAGTCAATGCTCTTAACCACTTGGGAACATCTCCAGGTGATCCTAATTGTTTTTTAATGCTAGACTTTGTTGCCTTCAAGCCGGATAAAGCAGTTGAGATATCATGATGCCATCTGCTTTGCTGCTAAGGGTCTTGAGGATGAATGAGCCATTCCCTTTCATCTGGAGGGAGAAGAGAGTTGTCTGGCAAGTGAATGGGGTTGAGGGCCAGGTGTGTAAGGTAATCCTGGTCCCTCCACCAAGGTTGCCCTTACCTGCTCATATGTGCAATGCATCCCCAGTTGCTTTTTAAAATATATTTTATTTTATTTTATTGATTTTTTTTTTTTTTTAAGGAAAGGAAGAGAGAGGGACAGAGAGTTAAAAACATTAATGAGAGAGAAACATCGATCAGCTGCCTCCTGCACACCCCCTACTGGGGATGTGCCCACAACCAAGGTACATGCCCTTGACCGGAATCGAACCCGGGACCTTTCAGACCCCAGGCCGACGCTCTATCCACTGAACCAAACCAGTTTTGGCTATCCCCAGTTGTTGTATGGCCTGGCAAGAAGTCAGGCTCATTCAATGTTAGCCACCATTGTTGTTATCTTGACTGTTGATCCCGAAGCCCAGCCTGAGCCCCCCCACCCCCAACAGCATCGTCTGCCAGGCACCTGGAAAAGAGCTGTTAACCCTGCAGGCCACATCCTCGCTCCAGGAGGGACACCATAGGGTTTAAGAGGGTAACCTGCCCTTCTGCACCAGAGGGAGGGCCTTTAATAGGTTAAAGAGTGGCCCTCAAAAGATCTGTGAATGTAACCTTATTTGGAGAAAAAGTCTTGGCGGATATAATTAAGTGAAGGATCTTGAGATGAGAGCATCCTGGGGTAAGCTGGGCTTTAAATCCAATGACACATGTCCTTCAAAGAAACAGAAGAGGAGAATAACAGGGAGAAGGCCATACAGAGATGGAGGCAGAGACTGGGGAAATGTGGTCACAAGCCCAGTAAGAGAAGGAACTCCTTTTGGACTTGCTGGCCCAGTGCTGGAGCTGAATGGTGGACACCCTAGGAGAAGCCAGCTGGAGCCAGAGCCTCAATACTGCAGCAGCCAGAGCCTCAATACTGCAGCAGCCAGAGCCTCAATACTGCAGCAGCCAGAGCACTGATTCCACAAGTGTGACAGACTCTCCCCCGGCCCAATCCTAGCCCATCCTTGACATCAGAACAAAGGCCTCCAGAGTCTGTCCACATCCTCTTCATCACACCCAACCATCACACCCCAATCTCTGCACCTCAGGTGGACTCACCTTTCTGAGTGCCTGACTATGCCTGGCTTCCCCAGGGTCTTTGCACCTGCTATTTCTTCCACCTGGACTGCTCTCCTCCCACTTGACCCCTTCATCCAGTAAAGCCTAGTCCCTCTTCAGACGCCTCAGGGTAGCATCCAGTCCCTCTCCCTGGACTAATGTCCCTTGTTGTAACTCTCCCATCACCAGCCCAGCATCCCATCTTTGGGCAGGCCACCAGCATCCTTCCCCAAACCTGCACACTGTCACAACTGTCCTAGCCATCCCTTCAGGCCAGCTGTTCTTTCTCACCTTCGGTTAACTGCTTATGGTCTGCTTCTCCTACTCATGTGGAGACTTCAGGGCACAACCATCTATTTTGCTTCCCTGTGTCTCCCTGGCACCTGGCTCAGTGCCTGGCATACAGTAGGACCCCACTTTTGCAAGTGGCTGGGTGAGGATGCCCCAGTCAGGGATCGTACCAGCCCTGGACCCTGCCTGCATTTGCTCATGCTGACCAGCAAAGCCAGGATACCAGGCAGGGGTGTCCACGAAGGCCTGATGCCCCTCACCAGTCAGGTCCTTCTCCGTGCTGGTCAGTGGTCGTGCCCCTTCCTGGCTCTCCATTCGGCCCTTGTACAGGATCCCATCCACTCCCAGGATGTCCACCTCGGCCTGTTGGAGGGCCCGGGCTCCAGGTAAGGTAGTGTCTTTGAGCCTCTAGTATACACAGAGGCCCAACAGACAGAGCACGACTCCCCAGGGGTCACCCACCCCCCGGGCTGCGGCCGGACTCACGGTATCATAGTCCAATACGTCGGGGTCCCCATAGGGATAGAGTGTTGTGAAGTCATATGACTTGATCTTGAGGTTGGCATCATCCCCAGGGCCGCCATGCCAGTCCTGGTCTGGAAGGCTCTGGAGCTGCTGGAGCCTCTGGAGCTTCTGGAGCTGCTGCTGTTCCCTGGGGCAGGGCAGGAGGGTCAGCAGCTACTTAGACATCTCTGCCCCCCAGAGCCTAAGGACAGTCCCTGAGGGTTTGGCCAGTAGCAAAAGAAGACTGGAATTCCTTCCAGCTGATTCTGGGTGGTGCAGCCAGGCAGGCCTGGGGCCTGGTGGGTAGATAAGACAGGCACAGTGGGGACAGAGAAAAAAATCGAGCCCTACATCCTCCAGACCTCAGCCGCTCCTAGAAGCCTGATCTGGCCTGCCAAGTGCATACTCTTAGCCTCTTGCTTTCCAGAAGGAATCAGGCAAGGGAAATGAGGGCAGGGGCACAGCCCCCCAAGTGTGGCTCTGGTTATTGTTTAGCTGTTATTCCTCATCTGGAAGGTGGGGAGCACCAGGAAGCTGGATTTCCGTGTGTGTGTGTGTGTGTGTGTGTGTGTGTGTGTGTGTGATGGAGCTGGGACACAAGGAGCCAGTTAGGTCCGGGGGAAACCCTCAGGTTTAGATGCCAGCTCTGCCACTCACTACCTGTGACCTTGGGCAGGTTGCTTAAGTTCCTTGAGCCTCAAATTTTTCAACTATGAAATGGGATGATAATGTAATATACCTCAAAAGGCAAGTATAAGGATTTAATGAGCTTAGGATGTCTAAGTGCTTAGCGCAGTATCTGCCCGGCCATAGCAAGCCTCACGGTCATTCGCATCCTCTAGTGGGAAGTAGGCATATTCATCCTATTTCATAGGGGATTTTGACATTCAAATGAGAAACCCTTCCCCAGCTCATAATAGATGCCCAATAAATATGTCTATTCCTTTCCTCTGTGGTCATCTCACACGCTTGTCTGTTGCCCTAGTCACTGTCCTGATGATGGCCACCTTGCAGATGGCTGGCAATGCCTTGGGATAGTCTTTAGATCCTAGACTACAGTCTAGGTTTCTGCAGGGATTCTGGGTCCTGAGTGACTTCCATGGAGTAGACCCCAGTCTGCTCACCTCATCTGTTGCCGCTGCAGATACTCGTAGCTGTTGGCACTAGATGGCCGAAGCTGCAGCTTGGACAGCATGTGGGCTTTGCGGATGGTGATGAGATGTCTGTTGAAGAACAAGAGCTCAGTGGGAGGCAGATGTGGCCAGCAGAGGGCACTAGGTTCCCACCTCCTCCCGGAAGCCACCCTCAAACTTGGCCTGAAATGAGGCTGCCCTACAAGGGATCTGGGGGACCCTGAAAATCTTTCTAAGTCATAAAAAACAATCGTTCCAATTATAAAAGTAAAAACCAAACACAGACTGGAGGTGGCCAGAGCCTGGGGGTAGAGGGGAGGAGAATGGGAGTGACAGTGATTGGGTAAGGGGTTTCCTTCTGGGGTGAAGGAAATATTCTAAGTGGTGGCTGCACAACAGTGTCAACGTTCAAACTGCTCTAAAATGGTTAATTCATGTTATGTGTATTCTACATCAATAAAAGTAGAAATAAAGGAAAACAACCCTGGCCAGTGTTCCCAGTAGTTAGGGCATTGGCCTGAGCACCACGGGGTCTCAGGTGTGATTCTGGGTCAAGGGCATGTACCTGGATTGCAAGTTCAATGCCCAACCCTGGTCGGGGTGTGTGTGGGAGGCAACCAATAGATGTATCTCTCTCACATCAATGTTTTTCTCCTTTTCCCCCTTCCTCTCCTCCCCCTCTTTCCCTTCCACTTTCTCTAAAAATTAGTGGAAAAAATAACCTCCTATGAGATTAACAAAATAATAATAATAATAATAATTATTATTATTATTATTATTGTTATTATTTAAAAAATAGTTCTAGCCAGTTTGGCTCAGTCAATAGTGTTGGCCCACAGATCGAAGAATCCCAGGTTCGACTCCAGTCAAGGGCATGTAACTGGGTTGCAGTCTTGACCCATGGCTCAGGTTGGGACATGTGTGGGAGGCAACCAATAGATGTGTCTCTCTTCCATGGATGTTTCTCTCTCTCCATCTCTCCTCCTCTTTCCTTCCAGTAGAGAATCTCTAAAAATCAATGAAAAAATATCCTCGCGTGAGAATTAACAAAAAATGCCCTAACTGGTTTAGCTCAGTGGATAGAGCATTGGCCTGCGGACTGAAAGGTCCCAGGTTTGGCTGAAACCGGTTTGGCTCAATGGATAGAGCGTCGGCTTGGGGACTGAAAGGTCCCGGGTTCGATTCTGGTCAAGGGCATGTACCTTGGTTGTGGGCATATCCCCAGTAGGGGGTGTGCAAGAGGCAGCTGATCGATGACTCTCTCTCATCGATGTTTCTAACTCTCTATCTCTCTCCCTTCCTCTCTGTACAAAATCAATAAAATATATTTTAAAAAAAGAAAAGAAAAAAAAAAGAAAGGTCCCAGGTTGGATTCTGGTCAAGGGCATATATCTTGGTTGCAGGCACATCCCCAGTGGGGAGTGTACAGGAGGCAGTTAATTGATGTTTCTCTCCCATCAATGTTTCTAACTCTCTATCCCTCTCCCTTCCTCTCTGTAAAAAAAAATCAATACAATATTATTTTTTTAAAAAGTATTAACAAAAAATAAATAAAAAGAATACTGTAACTGGATATCTATTGTTTAAAAGAAAATTTCTGGACATAGCTCCACAGCCCCCTCCATGAACTTGCACTGGCCCATGAGGGTGCTGATGAGTGTCAGGGTCACCAGGACCTGACTAACATGGGGAGATCTTGTAGTGCCCATGGGCACCTCAAGATTCTGACTCTTAAATCATGTTAGAGTATTGTTTGGTGGCTCCGAGTTACCATGTAACCCAGCACTTCCACTCCCAGGTTTACATCCGAAAGAATGGGAAACAGGTGTTCAAACAAATATATGGTTTCATAAAAGCTAAAAGGTGGAAACAACCCATATGTCCACCACTGTTTAAATGGATCAAAAATATGTGGTCTATCCATACAATGGGCTATTTATTATTCAGTCACAAAAAGGAAGGAAGTGCTGACACATGCTACAGGATGGATGAACCTCAAAAACATAATGCTCAGTGGAAGACGCCAAACACAAGAGACAACATGTTGTATGATTCCATTTCTATGAAGTGTCCAGTACAGGCAAATCCACAGACAGAAGTAGATTTAAGGTTGTCAGGGGCTACGGGGAGGGGACAATAGGAGTGACTGCTTAATAGGTCTGGGGTTTCCTTTTGGGACGACAAAAATATTTTGGGATTAAAAGTGGTGGTTGCATATGAACTAAATGCCACTGAATCACTTTAAAATGGTTAACCTTATGTTATGTGAATTTCACCTCAATAAATAGACCATAAAAATACATGCAGAAAGAGCCCCACAAAGTTCTGCTTTTCCCTATAGTTTCCTTCCATTATTTTTCTTTGGGAGTTGACCCAGTGCCTGGAACAGTGGGCACCAGACAGAGCTGACGAAGAAAGGAAGGGATAATGGTGGTCTGCTCAGGGACAGGGAGCAAATGAAAGGATGTCTACCAAACAGGTATGTGGACGTGCATATAAAGGATGTTTCTAGAACACTGCAGACACATAGAGTGTGTCTGTGTGTCCTTCTGTTTGTCCAGAAGAGAGAGGGCGGGCACAGATTCCCCCCTGGGCGACGGTACTCACGGGCCAGTCATCATCTCCACCGGCCGGTCACAGGAAATGCATTTCACCCGCTCAAACAGTTTCCTGGAAGACATCCATTCATCAGCTGTGGCACCCAGCCAGACCTGGGGCTGCCCCTTTCCCAGGCAGTGTTTGGGGAGGCTGCAGGTCTGTATGCCTCAGGGCTGGGACTTCTCCTCACATCCTACATCAGTGGGGTCTGGCCCAGCTCAGCTTGGCTGTGCTGACCCCCATTTGTGGCCTCCTGGAGCAGAAGTGGGGAATAAAAGGGTGTGTAGTGCATCTTTCTGCCCTAAACATAATGAGGTCTTTAAAACCAGAGGCCTTCTGGAAAGCTCACCATCACAGTAGGCTTTTGGGGCATAAGGGGTGATCTGAGGACAGGAACTCCTCTTTGTCTGGGTGTGCTGTCTCGACGGGAGTAGTGGACCTGGCTCAGTTCCCAGATCCATACAGGCTCCACTTGCATATCTCCTTCCCTCCCTCAACTCCTCATTTGTGGCAAAAGGGCTTTGGAGCAGATGTGCTCCTGAGTCCCTCTGCCACCCAAGGCCAGAGCTGCCACCTCTGCGCGCCTAGGTGCTCTCAGGCCTCATCCCAACCCCTTTCCACACTCAGTTGGGAAGTCCAGCCCCCTCTCCCCACATCCACAGGTCTGAAATTCTTGCTTCCAGAATCCTCTGGGATCCCCCTCCAGTTCCTTCCCCAGAGAGAGGGTCCCCCAGCCTTCACAAGTTCCACCTCTACCCGGGAGGGACTCACTTCCTAAAGCCGGCAGCACTATCAGGGTCGAATCGGAGGCCTTCAATTAGCAGCTCTCTGACTACTAGCCAGACCTCATTTATGTCTTTCTTTAGATTGTCCAAATCCTTGCTGATCATCTGGAACAATCAAAGGGGGTGGGGGTGGGGGGAGAAGAGTGTTTAGTCAATTAATTCACATGCTGATTCGCTCCAGAAAAGGATTTGCAGTAACTGCAAAGTGACACAGAGAATAACAATATTAAACAGAAAAAAGTGAGGTGGTTAAGGAAAGGGACCTGACAAAGCTTGGGTTAAGGTTCATACCCCTAATGCATGCTAATGCTAGAGGGGAGCTGCCAAGTGAACTTCCCAGCAGCCAAGGCAAAGAAGCACCATCAGGTCCTGCCTCCAAATGACAAATCCAACCCTATGCTCAGCTACAGGCCTGCAGGCCCGAGAAACATTTCTCCCAATGATCCCCAGACAATATTCACACATTCAACACATTTACTGAGTGCAAAGTACTATTATGCGTTCAATGGCTTTAAATACATTCACAGTCGAAACCGGTTTGGCTCAATGGATAGAGCATCGGCTTGGGGACTGAAGGTTCGATTCCGGTCAGGGCATGTACCTTGGTTGCGGGCATATCCCTGGTGGGGGGTGTGCAGGAGGCAGCTGATCGATGTTTCTCTCTCATCGATGTTTCTAACTCTATCTCTCTCCCTTCCTCTCTGTACAAAATCAATAAAAGATATATATAAAAAAGAAACATTTATTACAAAAATAAATAAATAAATAAATAAATAAATACATTCACAGAGTTGTGCAATCACCACCACAACAGTTTTAGAACATTTTTATCACTCCCAAAGAAACCTCAGACCCATTAGCAGTCACCCCTTCTTTCCCCAGACCCATAGGGATAGGCAACCACCAATGTACTTTCTGTCTCTATAGATTTTCCTATTCTGAACATTTCACATAAATGGAATCACACAACCTGTGGCCCTTTTTGTCTGGCTTCTTTCCCTGAGTATAATGTTTTCAAGGTTTATTCAGGTTGTAGCATTTCTTTCTTTCTTTCTTTTTTTTTTTTTAATATATTTTATTGATTTTTTTTACAGAGAGGAAGGGAGAGAGATAGAGAGCTAGAAATGTCGATGAAAGAGAAACATCGACCAGCTGCCTCTTGCACACCCCCTACCGGGGATGTGCCCGCAACCAATGTACATGCCCCTGTCCGGAATCGAACCTGGGACCTTTCAGTCCGCAGACCGATGCTCTACCACTGAGCCAAACCGGCTTCGGCTGTAGCATTTCTTTTATTTTTAAAAAAATTTTTTTATTTTTTAAAAAAATATATTTTATTGATTTTTTACAGAGAGGAAGAGAGAGGGATAGAGAATTAGAAACATCGATGAGAGAGAATCATCAATCAGCTGCCTCTTGCACACCCCCTACTGGGGATGTGCCCGCAACCAAGGTACATGCCCTTGACTGGAATCGAACCCGGGACCTTTCAGTCCGCAGACCGACGCTCTACCACTGAGCCAAACCGGTTTCAGCTGTAGCATTTCTTTTTAGGGCTGATTAACATTTAATTTTATGGCTAACCTATATTTTGTTTATCCATTCACTCACTGATGGACATTTGTGTTGTTTTCACTTTTTAGCAATTATAATGCTGCCATGAACATTCTTGTACAAGTTTTTACATAGACATAAGTTTTTGTTTCTTTTGGGTAGATACCTAGGATTGGAAATGCTGACTGTTATAGTAATTCCATGTCTAACTTTTTAAAAAACTGCCAGACTATTTTCCATAGTCAGACTTCTGAATTTTTACAGTGTTCCTTCCAGTGCCCAGATTTTGGTCTCTAAACACCATTCCCCACTAAAAGGAACCAGGTCTCCATAGCAGATACAGCTGACTCAGGTCTCAGGAAGGGAATGTTGACAATAACCCTGTTACCTCTTGTCATTTAAGAAAACAAGACAGTTATATGGTGACAGAAGGTTAAGTCAAAGGGCTCAGAAGCTAGATCGCATGCTAAAGATGAGACCATGCGAGTGATAAAATAGTAACTTAATTGACTGAGTGAATTCCTAATATATATAAAAACCCTGGATTCATCACGATCAGAGCCTTGACCTACTGGAAGTCAGTCCTGCAGTCAGCACTGGGTTGTCATGGCAATCCAGCACTGACTGCTGCAGCTGCAGGCAGGGTGACCCAGCACTAACTGCTGAGGGGGCTGCGAATCAGGCTTGGAGAGAGGCCTAAAGAGAGAAGCAGGGCCTGACCCGTAACCTGTGTGGCAGCTGTTGATCAGCACTTGCCTCTCTCTTTCTCTCTGGGCCATGCCAGCAGCTGCACCTCCATTTCTCTCCAGGCCTCCACCGAGGCTGCTGATCAGCCCCACCTTTCTGATCAGGCCCCAATAATAGCCCCAGAGATGCTGACTGGCATAGAAACTGACCAATCAGAACCAAATCTGGGTCAACTGTGAGGAGTCAATGGCTGCCTAGGAGGCAGAGCTTTTCACACTGACTGGCATAGAAACCAACCAATCAGAACCAAACTGGCCAGCAGAGGAGGGCAGTTGGGGGCAATCAGGCAGGCAGACAAAGAGGTTAGGGGTGATCAGGCAGGCAAGCAGTGGGGTTAGGAATAATCAGGCATACAGGCAGAGGCAGTTAGGGGTGATCAGGAAGGCAGGAAGGTGACGGTTAGGTGGCAGTGGTCCCAGATTGCAAGAGGGGTGTCCGACTGCTGGTTTAGGCCTGATCCCTATGGGGACAGTCGGACATCCCCCAAGGGGTCCCTGATTGGAGAGGGTGCAGGCTGGGCTGAGGGACCCCTGCTCCATGCACTGGGCCATTAGTTGAATAATAAAAATTCATGATTCACAGTGACACTCACAAAAAAGAAATAAAAAATAAAAATAGCCCTAACTGGTTTGACTCGATGGATAGAGTGTTGGCCTGCAGACTGAAGGGTCCCAGGTTTGATTCCAGTCAAGGGCATGAACCTTGGTTGCGGGCACATCCCCAGTAGGGGTGTGCAGGAGACAGCTGATCAATGTCTCTTTCATATCGATGTTTCTAACTCTATCTCTCTCTCCTCCTCTTTGTAAAAGAATCAATAAAATATATTAAAAAAAATAAAAATAGAAACCCTCAATTGCCACCATGTTTTGGATGTGGGCATTTCAATCAATATATTACCCTGAACACTGATCACTAAAGGAAGTAATTCATCATTTAAAAAAATATATATATTTTATTGATTTTATACAGAAAGGAAGGGAGAGAGATAGAGAGTTAGAACCATCGATGAGAGAGAGTCATCGATCAGCTGCCTCTTGCACTCCCCCTACTGGAGATATGCCCGCAACCAAGGTACATGCCCTTGACCGGAATCGAACCCGGGACCCTTCAGTCCCCAAGCCGATGCTCTATCCATTGAGCCAAACCGGTCTCGGCGGAAGTAATTCATCATTTTTCTGTCTTTCCTGAAAGAACCATATTTCAGGGTAATTGGCTCAAGTTGATGAAGGAAAGCTCTTTACAGATTTCTAGCTGATAAATGTAGAAGCTACATCTGTCTTGCTCCCTTAGGTAACTTGTTCTAGGGGAAGTCAACTGCAATGGTGTGAGGCCACTTGAGCAGCCCTAAAAAGTAGTTCATGTTATAAGGAAGGGAGGAGACTTGCCCACAGCTATGTGAGGGGGCCATCTTGGAAGTGGCTCCTCTGGCCCCAGTCAAACTTTCAGATGACAGCAACTTCATGGGAGACCCTGAGTCATTCAGTTAAGCAGCTCCCAAATTCCTGGCCTTCAGAAACTAAATGCTTGTTGGTTTAAACTGCTCAAGTCCAGGGTAACTTGTTATGCAACAAGTGATAACTGATACAGGGAAGCTTACCCTGCTGCCCATGTCCTTGTTGAGCTGATCCATAGTCTTCTTCCAGTTCTCCTCTTGGGTCACGATCCTCAATAGTACACCCTGAATCATCTCGTTCAGGTCCATTGCCATCCTCTCCAGATCAACCCGGCTTGCCTTGGCTGCCAGGGTGCTCCTGTCAGCTTTCTAGGGAGAGAAAGGACTCGGAGAGGCAGAGCTGCTTGAGTGGTAGCAAGGAGAAGCTGGGGGAGATCAGATCATTTTGGTCAATTTTTTCAAGTTTGGGACCTTGGACATCTAGGGTTGGCTTAATTCAATCCTGGGGTCTATGCTGGCTCAAAGACAATCATCAGATCTAAGCCACGGTTTTCCTATGACAGAGTTGGTGAGTGATTTTTAAGTTCACATAACAAATTGTCACTAACCCTGAAGCACTGAAAATAGTTGATGGGGCAACTTTGAGAAGTGTCCCCAGTATTTCCATGTGAATAAAGGTGGAGGGAGACTCTGAAGTCTCTCTGCCAGGTTTTGTCTTGGCTCGATGATTCCATTTCCCTGTGTGGGAGAGCTGGGACTCAGGATGAGGGAGCAGGAGGGGGAGAGGAATCTCCTCACTCACCTCTCTTAACTCCTGCTCCATTGCAAGTTTGTCTGCCTTGAGCGATTCTAGGTTTTTTACTTGAGACTGGAGAATCTAAGAACAGAAGCAAAGGGCATGTCAGCCATCCTTGGAATCCCTGAGGATAATAGCCACCTCTCACCTCTACCCTTGCTGTGGTGCTAAGAAGGGACAATGAGACCAGGTGGACAGCAGGTAAGGTGGGCACATGGGAAGGCTTGGGCTCCTGGGTGGCTGGTGCCCAGATTAGAAGGGAAGAAATGTGAGACTTGGGAAAAGTTGTCCTCTTGGAGGCAGACCTAAGGAAGGAAAGCATATACCATGAGCTTTTGGCTCTTTAGATATTTAGGACAAGTTCCCCTCTTCTGATCTGTCATGAGGGCCCAGTAAGAAATGCAGTCCATTCATCAGCCAAGCACTTACACATCACACACTGTACCCCACTGTCAAAGAAAAACTCTTCTTTCCCTTTCCCCTAACTCCACAAAGAACAAACTCTCCCCATTACTTCTGCCCTCTCTCCACTTACTGAACTCTCCTATGAGGCAGCAGCCCTGACCTGGTTGGGAAGAGCCTCACACCCACTGGGCTGTGTCCTCAGTGGGTGAGGTCACTTCTCCTCCAAAGCAGAAAATAGGCTTCTACTTCTTCTTTCATATCTGGTCTTCCTCTCATCATTAGCAACAGAACCTTCAACTTTTAGCTGGCATCTGACCTCCCAGAATCATGACTAAATTTCATAGCCTCCCTTACCACTTGGTATGACTACTGGGGTACAAATACAAGTGGACAGATGTCTTATTCACTGCTGGCTTGAATGCAGAGTTAATGTCTAGAGCACCAGCAGCCACCTTGGAACTTGAGGTGACCTTGTGAATGGAAGTCACACACCATGGAATTTTATGTTTTTTAAAAATATATTTTATTGATTTTTGTGTTTTTTTTTTTTTAAACAGAGAGGAAGAGTTAGAAACATCGATCAGTTGCCTCATGCACACCCCCTACTGGGGATATGCCGGCAACCAAGGTACACGCCCTTGATCTGAATTGAACCTGGGGCCTTTCAGTCCGCAGGCCAACGCTCTATCCACTGAGCCAAACCGGTTTTGGCGACACCATGGAATTTTAGAGTAGCTCTAGACCAATCATTTCAGACTTTCTTATTTTTCTGTTACCTTGTTTTAGTAAGTTATTTGGGAGTTCATGTTATTCACAGTTGAACCTAATTCTAATTAATGCAAAGCTCCATCACATCCACTTGCAAAGGGAAAGTAATGTTTTCCAGAGAGTCCAAAAAAAAAAAAAAAAAAAAAAAAGCATTCTGTTCTCACTTATTTTCTTGCTGTATTCTTAGTGGAAGACACTCCAAGAGACAAACTCTAAGGTGAAGGATATGTTTCCATCTTGATTGTGTGGTGGTAATATGGGTGTGTAAACCGGCAAAAATCAATTCACCCCTTACACTTAAAACTGTGCATTTTACTGTGCATGAATTATACTTTGATTAAAATCACCAATATCACTGTTGACTACTAAATGCAGAAGAGCCTAGATAGTTTCTGTCTTGTTAACTGCTGCATCGCCAGGCCTTGGAAGGGTGCCTGGTGCAGAGAAAAGGCTCAGTAAGATTGGCTGAATGAATCAATGAATGCATAAGGGTTTTTTACATCACTTGTTACAGTCATAACATTTCCTCGAAGACATCCAGATAAAGACACACCTATCCCAGATGTGTCTGCATACCCTCATTTCTCTACTGGAAGGGCTCAATAGTGGCTGCTGATCCCTTGCATATGTTCATTTAAGACATATTTAATTAAATTTGTGTTTTATACCAAGCCCTTCAAGGGTTAACTTTTTAAAATATATTTTTTTTATTTTTTTTTTACAGAGAAGAAGGGAGAAGGATATAGAGTTAGAGACATCGATGAGAGAGAAACATCAATCAGCTGCCTCCTGCACACCCCCCACTGGGGATGTGCCCATAACCAAGGTACATGCCCTTGACCGGAATCGAACCTGGGACCTTTCGGTCCACAGGCCAACGCTCTATCCACTGAGCCAAACCGGTTAGGGCAAGGGTTAACTTTTATAAGCAATTAATGTGTTCTTGTTGGCACAAAGGACAGGAAGGTAGTCAAGACAAAGACTGCCTTGCTCCATCTGGTGCTATTTGGTTGGGCCTCATCCTCTGGAGTTCCTCTCAATGAGCAATAACTATATGGAGGCAGACACTATGACCCTTCCTCTCCTCGTGCAGGGCAGGGCTCAGTGCTGGGGACACACGTCAGACATGTTGAATGAACTGGCTCATCTCTATTGAGGAGGGGAATCAATATGTCCCTGGGACATGGCAATCTGGCCTCTTTGAAGCAGGGAGGAAAAGAGGGCCCGAGTTGTCAGGAGCTGATGTAACCGAGCTGGGTACTCACAAGGTCTGATCCTAGTCTCCTCTGTTCACACACAGTCCAGAACCTCTCCCTCCCACCTGCACTTAAGCTGGGAGCTGGCTCCCCATGTATGATTTCTTTTTCTGAGTTGCCCTGTGTGGGTCCTCTCCCTTTTGCCCCCTGAATCCTAATGCATCCCACCAATAGCCCCCTGACTGGAAATCAGAAGCTCCCATGGAAACCACCTCAGTTGGTTCTGTTTGAAATTTCTTCTCTTTCTACTCTGGGAATGACTTCTCCAAATGTCTGGGACACGTCAGACTGGACTGGTCCTGAGATCCAGCTCAGCAGTCAGAACCCATCAGGCTCATGGAGAATGTATCTGGTGGAGTGAGCCCCAGGTAAGGGTTTTGTGTCATTTCCATACTTTCCACGTCAGCAACTCCACTGTTCCAGAAAGAATCTCTTGGCATTGTTTGGCCAGAAAGGAGGTTGCTTAGGGGGAAAGTTATGAATATAACAGTTGGTGCAAGAAATCATCTAATTCATTCAATTCTTTCAGCACAGTTTGAGCCTTCACTCTATACCAGGCATCCTTCTAGGGGTGGGTGACCCAGTGGTTAACAAGAGAGACACTGTTGCCCTAACTGGTTTGGCTTAGTGGTAGAGCATCAGCCTGTGGACTGAAAGGTCTCTGGTTCGATTCCAGTCAAGGGCACATGCTAGGGTTGCAGGCACAGTCCCCAGTAGGGGGTGTGCAGGAGGCAGCCAATTATAGTGATTCTCATCATTGATGTTTCTATCTTCTCTCCCTTCCTCTCTGAAATCAATAAAAATATATTTAAAAAAAGAGAGGGATACTGTGTAGGCCAGTGGTTCTCAACCTTTCTAATGCCGTGACCCTATAATACAGTTCCTCATGTTGTGGTGACCCCCAACCATAAAATTATCTTCATTGCTACTTCATAACTGTAATTTTTGCTACTGTTAATGAGTCATAATGTAAATATCTGTGTTTTCCGATGGTCTTGGGCTCTACAGCAGCGGTTCTCACCCTGTGGGTCGCTGGTTCACCTGCCTTTGGTACATCTGTGAAACCTTGGAGAAGGTCTAAATATCCCCATGAGTACTTATCCCCTTAGCTGCCCACTGGGACCACCCAGACCTCCGAACCTTAAGCTCCTCCAGGCGATTATAGATCTTTTCCACTGCTCTGTCCAGAATGACGTAATGTTCCTTCATCATCAATATTTGGTGGCCCCAAATTTTCTCGAATTCCTCCTCCTAAAAGGGGGAGACACAGACATTCAAGGCCTCTGCTTCTGAGGCCACCATGGGCGAGATGGGGCTTGAAGAGTATACGAGACCAGTGCAACTCCAACTTGCCATCTGTCCCCTCCCCTAACCTGCCATCTTTCCCTCCCCGCAACCTGCCATCTTAATAACTCTGGGACACTCACCCACATCCTGGGACCCCTGCACCAGCTGGAGCAGTACCAGGGGCTATGGCTGCTTTCTCAACCCTCGATCCCCTGGCCTCCTTTCAGCTATAGGACAAATGCTCCATCTGTTTCTAGGTCATAGTCTGCCATCAGCTTGCCTTGCACCATCATCTTAATAAAAGCTCTTTCTGCCCAGGACACTGACCTGTAACCTGGATTTCTGGAGGCTTCCAATCTTTTCTTGCAGCATGTCCACTGTCAACTCAAGCTTGGAAGAGCTTTCTATATCAGCTGAAAGCAAAGGAGGGATGACGGTTGGAGGCAGGGATGGAGAAAGATGCTTTGTGTAGACCTCCACTTGCTTCTGTTATGAAATGTCTAAGGCAATGCTGCCATCCAACAGAGCAATACTATACTGTGAGCTTGGGGTCTTTGAGGTCATTTAAAATTTTCTAATAGTCATATTTAAAAAATCTAAAAAGATTCAAGTGACATAAATATTTTTCTCTTTTATTTGTTTTTGTTTTGTGTGTGTACTAATTTTATTTTTACTTTTAATGTATTTTATTGATTTTTTTACAGAGAAGAAGAGAGAGGGATAGAGAGCTAAAACATTGATGAGAGAGAAACATCAATCAACTGCCTCTTGCACACCCCCCACTGGGGATGTGCCTGCAACCAAGGTACAAGTCCTTGACCGTAATCAAACCTGGGACGCTTCAGTCTGCAGGCTGACGCTCTATCCACTGAGCCAAACCAGTTTCGGCTTATTTTTTGTTTATTTACTTATTTTTAAACAATGTTTTGGTTCGGGGTTTTTTGTTTGTTTGTTTTTATATTTTTACTAGAGGCTGAGTATACAAAATTTGTGCATGGTGGGGAGGGACCTTTCTCACAGCACAGTCTGCACGCTCTCCAATCTGGGATTCCTTGAGGTGAGATTGGGCCTAACTGGGCAGTCGGATATCCCTCTCACGATCCAGGGCTGCTGGGTCCCAACCTCTTGCCTGCTTGCCTGTCTGCCTGCCTGATTGCTCCTAACCGTTTCTGTCTACCAGCCTGATCACTCCCTAACCACTTCCTTGCCAGACTAATAGACATCTAACTGTGCCAGCCTGATTGCCTCTAACTGCCCTCCCCTGCCATCCTGGTCCCCCCTAACTGCCTTCCTCTGCCATCCTGGTCTCCCCAACTAACCTCTCCTGCAGGCCTGGTCCCCTCCAACTGCCCTTCCTTGCAGGCCTGAATCCCCCCAACTACCCTCCCATGCAGGCACAGTCACCCTTAACTGCCTTCCCCTGCTGGCCAACTTGTGGTGGCCATCTTGTGTGTTGGAGTGATGGTCAATTTGTATATTACCTCTTTATTAGATATGATAATTTCAGTCTGCTTGTTAGATATGATTAATTTCAGAGAGGAAAGGAGAGGGAGAGGGAGAGGGAGAGGGAGAGGGAGAGGGAGAGGGAGAGGGAGAGAGAGGGAGAGAAATATCAATAATGAGTGAGAATCATTGAGCAGCTGCCTTCTGCTTGCCCCACACTGGGGATCAAGCCCACAACCAGGGCATGTGCCCTAACCAAGAATCGAAGTGACCTCCTGGTTCACAGATTGATGCTCAACCACTGAGCCATGCTGGCTGGGCAATGTGTGCATTAATTTTAATAAAATATTTTATATAACCCAATATATCTAAATAGTATCATTTAAGTACGTAATAAAAATTATTAATGAGGTGTTTTGCATTCTTGTTTCTATACTAAGATTTCAATTTCCATTGTGCACTTCACACTTAGAGCACATCTGAACTTGAACTTGCCCCATTTCAAGTGCTCTACAGCCATGAGTGTCTCCAGATTATCAGATTAGAGCAGGCCTAGGGAAAACTCTCCGAATTTTACTCCCCTCCCCAAAATGACCCTGAGCAAAACTATGAAGTACCTTATTCAGAAGTATGTTATTCACCACGTAATAAAAAGAAAGATTTAACAAAAGAGGAGGTGGGTAATAAAATAAAATAAAAAAAATAGACACACTATATCCAGTTCCAGATGAGAGGTCAAAACGAATGTACAGGACAGAACTATGAATGTATGAAAGTTGCAGCCAAGACATGTTTATAACCTAACAATACTGACCTTAAAAGTAACAGCTGGTCAGAGGTAGAATTCGGGCTACTGTGGCTTTACATTTTAAATTAAATTCAGAATCTTAGCCATGCCCCAGTGTTCACTGATATCGATGTGGTTCTTTGTAACCACGTGATGTTCTACTTTTTCTTTTCAAGATTTGGGAACAGCACTGCCCATCAGGGGTGGTGCCACACACGGGTTGGATTTAGATCAATCCAACTATTGTACTTGGCAGAGAGCAAAACAGCAAGGTAATGATTTACAGAGGGTAGGGAAATGGATCTCAGAGGAGGTTTGCAGGTCGGCAGAATCAGCAGTATTTCCCCAGGAAGGGTTAGAAACGCACATTCTTGTGTCCCCCTCCCCCAGTCACCTTAGTCAGAAATTCTTGGGGTGGGCCCCACAGTCTGTGCTTCACGAGCGGTGCTGAGGTGAGCTCAGGGGTGAGAACCGCTAGCATAGGCCACTCTGCCCCTCTATCATCCCTGCGCATATGCCCATCATGGGCATGAAATGGGAGCATCAGTGTACTGGTCCCACTGACACCTAGAAAGTGACTGTGATATTTAAGGATACATATGTGTATCAGGCAGCTATTTTTTTGTGTGTGTTTTTTTAATTGATTTTTTTACAGAGAGGAGAGGAGAAGGATAGAGAGTTAGAAACATCGATGAGAGAGAATCATCGATCAGCTGCTTCTTGCACACCTCATACTACTGGGGATGTGCCCGTAACCCAGGTACATGCCCTTGACCGGAATCGAACCCGGGACCTTTCAGTCCGCAGGCTGACGCTCTATCCACTGAGCCAAACCGGTTTCGGCTGGCAGCTGTTCTTAATCCCAAACTGACTGCTTCATCTGGGGGCAGTTCAGTGTTGTTGGACGCTCTGGGAATCTGGACTTACCAAAACCCTGTGTCTTATGGGCTGTTGAAAGGGAGGTTTTCAAGAGTAATTTTGACACGTAATGTTCCTCTTTAAGCACAAACTTTAGACTATAACTGCCTCTCTCTCCTAAGACAAGACCTCACTGTACATTCATTGTAAAGAATAGACTAGACAAGGAAGAGGCTAATGCTTACGCCAAAAGTGATGAATGGCGAATGGCTGAATGTGGATTGTGTTGGGGCAGTTAAACAAAGGAGAGGGGGTGCTGCTTGAAGGCCCTGAGGAGTGCCCAAGCCCTTACCACACTTCCCGGAGCCAGCCTGGGCCTACCTAGATGAGCCATGTGATGATGCATGCTGGATGACAGCTGGTCAAGCTCTTCTTTCAGGGAGTCCTGTCTAATGGGTATCTGGGCTATGTGGCTCATGGAATACTTGACGGCCGCCTTCTTGTCTTCCGGGGTTACAGCCTGTTTGGCTATCAGCATGGCCTGGGACAGGTCAGTTTCAGGAGTGACGAAGGGACCAGCATACGAAGAGGTGAGTAACGTTTCATAGCCCACCTCGCTCTCATCAATGGAGGGTATGGCCCCACGGGAAGCCCCAGCACCCACAACATCTGCAAAGACCCCTAAGGGCCCAGCTGCGGCCACGCTTGTTGCCACAGTGGCCAGTTTGGTGGCGGGGGCATCCTGGACGACCAGGGCTGCGTTCTCGGCTGCCCGGGCTGCTGAGCTCGCGGCGGCCGCATAAGCGGCGGCGGCAGCAGCTGCGATGGCAGCGGTAGTTTTCATCCGATGAAGGGCGGTCCGGGCATTCCTAGGGTGTAATTCTTTGGAGGTCTCAGCAGCAGGGGTTTCATCCTGTAAATGATCTTCTTCCATACCTTCTGAGATAGATTGGAGATGCTGCATTTCTGCCTGTGGCTGCAGTGGATAAGGCCAGGCTGAGCCAGGCTCCATGGCTGGTGGTGGGGCTCTGAAACCCTGGGTGTCCAATTGGCCTGCGCCAGGCTGGAAAGCCCAGAAAGGGAAACGTCCAGGCAAGCCTCTGGGAGGAAGCACGGCTCTTGACAGCATATGCCAATATCCTGGTGGTGCGGACGAAGGGGCAGGCCCAGGTCCAGAAGGGGCAGGCCCAGGTCCATAAGGGGCAGGCCCAGGTCCATAAGGGGCAGGCCCAGGTCCATAAGGGGCAGCCCCAGGTCCATAAGGGGCAGGCCCAGGTCCATAAGGGGCAGGCCCAGGTCCATAAGGGGCAGGCCCAGGTCCATAAGGGGCAGGCCCAGGTCCATAAGGGGCAGGCCCAGGTCCAAACTCAGGCCCAGGCCCAGGGGGTGTGGGTTCAGGGGCAGGCCCAGGTACATATGGAGACTCAGGTCCATACGCAGGTCCAGGGGCAGGTCCAAATGCAGGCCCAGGTCCAAATGCAGGCCCAGGTCCAAATGCAGGCCCAGGTCCAAATGCAGGCCCAGGTCCAAATGCAGGCCCAGGTCCAAATGCAGGCCCAGGTCCAAATGCAGGCCCAGGTCCAAATGCAGGCCCAGGTCTGGCCATAGTCCTTGGTCTGAACCTAGGCCAAGGTGGTAGTATGAACCCAGGTGTCACATTGTGCCCTAGTATGGGTACAATGCCAGGCATAGACTCAGCCTCTGGCGCAGGTCCAGGCCCGGGTGCTTGCTCAGGCTCGGGCACCTGAGGCTGGCCCAACTCCTGGGCCCCTGTGAGAGGAACTTGGAGGGCAGACTCCTCCTCCTGTACTTGCCAACCAGTATCCAAGGACTTGGGGAGTTGGATGGCCTCTGAGATCTGGCTGGGGCCACCACTTTCGAGAATCATGGTGGTCTGGGCAAGATCAGGCTCTGGGAGCTTCTCTGTAACTTTCCACATGTCAGACTCTTCCAGCTGTTCTGAAACAGCTCCCTGTTGAACAGTTACCTGTGGAAAAGGGAGCTGGGGTGCACCAGACCAGATCAGCAATCACCCTGTCTGTTTCCTCCCACCTACTTCCCCCTCCTCCATCCTCCTTCTCTTACCGAGGTGAACAAGGCCTCATGGAGGCTACTCCAGAGTACCATGTCTTCAGGTTTGGGGATGGCGCCAATCTTGTTCTGGAGAATAGTCTGCGGGAAAAGGAAGGAGTTGGAAATAAGGGATGTGAATCTGGAGGGTGTGATACCCTTGGATGTGGCTCCCTTGTCCACACTGCCCTCTATACTTGCAAATGAATGGGCCCTTCCAGATTGTGTTCCCCTTCTTACTCTTCCCCATGCACAGCACCCCTGGGCCTACTAGAGGTGAGGGGACCAGAAAGGGGGATGGGACCGAGACTCTCACCACATCCCGCTGCATCACATTTATCTTCCGGGTCTGTGCTTTTAAATCATCAAGGAAATTGCTCATGCGTTCCGGGTGTATCTGTCAAATAATCCAAACCCATGCATCAGGAGTGTTAAGTTCTGGTCCCAGCCCTGCTTTTCCCACTGCTCTAGGTGACGAAGAGTTGGAAAAGGAAGAAAAAGTATTTCCCATAGAGCGAGAAAAGAGTAGAAAAGAGTTCCCTGGGCAAAAAAGTTTGGGGATTGTTGGGCTTAAAAAACACTCAATGGGCTTTTGTACTGCAGGACTTCTCAGAGCTTTTAATGGGCAAAATACAGTAAGGACCTCCAAACCTAGCCGGTGTGGCTCAATGGTTGAGCGTCTACCTATGAACCAGGAGGCCACAGTTTGATTCTCGGTCACGGCGCATGTAAAAACTTGGTCCCTGATAGGAGGCGTGTGGGAAGCAGTTCTTTCTTTCTTTCTTTCTTTCTTTCTTTCTTTCTTTCTTTCTTTCTTTCTTTCTTTCTTTCTTTCTTTCTTCCTTCCTTCCTTCCTTCCTTCCTTCCTTCCTTCCTTCCTTCCTTCCTTCCTTCCTTCCTTCCTTTCTTTCTTTCTTCCGCGCGCGCGCGCTCTCTCTCTCTCTCTCTCTCTCTCTCTCTCTCTCTCTCTCTCTCTCTCTCTTTCTTTCTTTCTTCCTCATTGTTCCCATGCTTTCAGCACAGAGTCATCCACGTGAAAAATAATCCTGTTTCCTAAGCTGAGGTTTAGTTTTAGCTCACCACTGGAATGCACCAGCCAACAGGGAAGTGGTCAGGTCCAGAGGCAGGTGGCTAAGAAAGCAGCCAGTTAATTATTCTCATATTGATGTTTCTCTTTCTCCCTCTCCCTTCCCTCTCTGAAATCAAATTTAAAAATATTTAAAAAAAAAAAGAAGGAAGACTCTTACTATTTGCATCAGCATGGATGAACCTGGAGAGCATTATACTAAGTGAAATAAGCCAGTTGGAGAAAGATAAATATCACACGATCTCACTCATTCGTGGAATATAATGAACAACATAAACTGATGAACAAAAATATATACAGAGACATAGAAGCATTGAACAGACCATCAAATATTAGAGGGAAGGCAAGGGACAGTGGAGAGGGGGGGGAAGAGATCAACCAAAGGACTTGTATATATGCATATAAGCATAATCAATGCACATAGACAGTAGGGGGATGAAACCATGTGCTGAGGGGTGAGAGCAAGCAAAGAGAGGTCCATGGGGGGAAAGGGAGACATATGTAATACTTTCAACAATAAAGAATTTAAAAATAAAAAATCTCTAAGAGGTTGGTTGAGGAGGCATTGCTTCTCAAATGGATTTGTTCAAGGGTCCTTTTTAGTGTTTCATGACAATGCCCTTTCTGCCCAAGATTAAAGTTCTTACAGTTGCCAAGATGATCAAATGCATACAATGACCTGTGCATTGAAGATGATAATTTCATCATATTATTCGGAGGCAAGTTGTAAAACCTCAGCCACAATATCAACCTGTGGGTGTAGAGAGCTGGCTTCTGAGCCCAGTTCCGAATCCCCAACTATGAGCTCATAATTCAAAAATTCCATGCCCTTTCACATCATGGTAAAGAGTTAGAACATTATTGCCCAAACCGGTTTGGCTCAGTGGATAGAGCGTCTGGGCTGCGGACTGAAAAGTCCTGGGTTCGATTCTAGTCAAGGGCATGTACCTTGGTTGTGGGCACATCCCCGGTAGGGGATGTGCAGGAAGCAGCTGGTCGATGTTTCGCTCTCATTGACTTTTCTAGCTCTCTATCCCTCTCCCTTCCTCTCTGTAAAAAAATCAATAAAATATATATTTTTTTTAAAAAGAGAGAGTTAGAACACTCCTGGGTTGATGTCCTGTGGCTATAGAGGGAGCTAGCATATAAGCTGTGCTAGGTTTATTCCATGTCTCAGTGTAAACAGAGCTTTCTAAAAGAGGAAGAGGTGCCCTCTTTCTCCTAAGTTAATGGAACATAAATAAGCCTAGAGTAGCCAAGACCTTCATTCATATGAAGCCAACCCAGAGGAAAATTATCCCTGAGAGAAAAGTATTGATGTGGTATGAACACTAGATCTAGCTGTACCTGAAGGCATTCCTGTATTTTTTAGTAAATGAGACAATCAATTATCTGATTTTACCTAGGCCAGTGTACAGAGTGCCTGAGAAGGCATATGGCATTTCTTTTTTTCTTTTTAAATGATTTTCTACAGAGAGGAAGAGAGAACAATAGAGAGCTAGAAACATCAATGAGAGAGAAACATCCATCAGCTGCCTCCTGCACACCACCCACTGGGGATGAGCCCGCAACCAAGGTACATGCCCTTGACCGGAATCGAACCTGGGACCCTTCAGTCCGCAGGCCTACGCTCTATCCACTGAGCCAAACCAGTTTCGGTGATGGGCATTTCTTTAAATTGTCAGCTGAACCCAAGGCGACAGGCAAAGCCATGCCCTGGGAACATGCTTTACCAAAAAGGCAAAGGTGTTATCAGCTTGACCTTTATTTCAGCCCTGATGTCAGGGAGTGTGTTTTGATATGTAAATCCAGTTAAGCACCAGGAATGCAAATAATCTCCTTTGTCTTGACTTTTGGTGAAACTTCCTGGTATTTGTGAGGATAAAATAAAGACAGCTGCATGGGCTCTGGGTTTCTGTCTCTCCAGCAGAAGAGAATAGCAGTCCCACCAGGTTCCCAGCTTTTTCCTTCCATTTTGTGTCTTGTCTCTTTCTTTTATTTCTCAATCCCCAGCTACTCTACTCAGGGACTGAACGGCTCTCTAGTCACCCTGGACACAGAAAAGAGAGAAATATTTTTACATCAGGCTCTGTCACTTACAAATGGTGTCAGAAAATAGCATGGTGAGGAGCATAACATGGCGGAAGCCACAGAGAATTCAGTGGGAAGGGCCAGGTGGCTGGACCCTGTCAGTCCCACATCTCCTGCCCCGATGGCTGCATCCTTTGACTAAGAATGGGTTGCCTAGATTTATCCTATCACCCAACCACCAATGGTCCGAGCAGCATGGCCAGCTTGGAGGATGCTGGGGAAGGTCTACCTTACTCCACATGTCCTTCAGTATGTCCACATCCTTCCTGAGGGTTTCAGTGACAGACTTGAGTGTATTAATGTCGGTAAGCAAATCCTGCATGGTCTTCATAGTCTAAAGAGGGAGAGAGGAGGAAAACAACATGAAATTGGGTGTGGCTGGGGGAGAAGGCAAGTAAAGTGTGGAAGTTCTCTGATGACTGCCATAGTCCAGAAGTCCTCTGGGCTATCTCAAGTCCTCCGCTGGAATATACTCAGAAGTCAACAAATGACAGTTGAATCAACAGTGCTCTGAGCTCTCAAATAGCCTAGGTGGGAAGGAGGGAACCCTGTGTTTGCATGTGTTCAGTAACCAGGAGCCACTCACTATGAAGCACCTCATGCCCTTTGGTGGGAGCCACTGGAGATCAGCAAAGGAATTATGATCGGATCTACTTTTTTTTAATCCTCATGTCAGGATAGGTTTTTATTTTTTTATTATTAATTATATTAAATGTGAATGGCAGCCGAAATCAGTTTGGCTCGTGGATAGACTAAAAGGTCCCAGGTACGATTCCGGTCAAGGGCATGTACCTTGGTTGCGGGCACATCCCCGGTAGGGGGTGTGCAAGAGGCAGCTGATTGATGATTCTCTCTCATCGATGTTTCTAACTCTATCCCTCTCTCTTCCTTTCTGTTAAAAAATCAATAAAATATATTATTTAAAAAAATTGTGAATGGTGGAGATTGATATAATGAATAAGAAAACATGATCCAAACTCATGATGTCTAGAAGAGACATATTTAGATTCAAAGATGCAAATAAGTTGAAAATAAAAATGGGTATAAAAAGGTATATCATGCAAGTAGTTTCCCAAAGAGAACTGGAGTGACTGATATTAATATCAGACAAAGTAGACTTTAAGATAAAATTGTTATGAGAGAGCAACATTTATAATGACAAGAAGGTCAATCCATCAGGAATACATAATAAGTAAATATATGCACCCAACAATGAAGCCCCAAAATACATGAAGCAAAAAGTGACAGAACTGAAAGGAGAAATAGATAATTCAACAAGAATAGCCGAAACTGGTTTGGCTCAGTGGATAGAGTGTCGGTCTGCTGACTGAAAGGTCCCAGGTTCAATTCCGGTCAATGGCATGTACATTGGTTGTGGGCACATCCCTGGTAGGGAGTGTACAGGAAGCAGTTGGTCGATGTTTCTAGCTCTCTGTCCCTCTCTCTTCCTCTCTGTAAAAAATCAATAAAATATACATATTTTTAAAAAAGGATAGTTGGAGACTTCAACACTGTATCTCCAATAATAGATAAAACAATTAGATAGATCAGCAAGGAAATAGTAGATATGAACAACACTGTAAACCAATCAGACATAACACATCTATAAAAAACTCCCCTCATCAATGGCAGAATGCACATCCTTTTCAAGCACAAATACAATATTCTATAGGATAGATCATATGGTGGGCCATAGAACTAGTCTCATTAAGTTTATTTATTTTATTTTTTTAAATATATTTTATTGATTTTTAACAGAGAGAAAGGGAGAGAGATAGAGAACTAGAAACGTCAATGAGAGAGAAACATTGACCAGCCGCCTCTTGTACATCCCCCACCGGGGATGTGCCCCAACCAAGGTACATGCCCTTGACCGAAATCAAACCTGGGACCTCTCATTCCGCAGACCGATGCTCTACCACTGAGCCAAACTGGCTTTGGCTAGTCTCATTAAGTTTAAAAAGGGCCGAGACCGGTTTGGCACAATGGATAGAGCATCAGCTTGGGGACTGAAAGGTCCCGGGTTCAATTCCGGTCAAGGGCATGTACCTTGGTTGCGGGCATATCCCCAATAGGGGATGTGCAAGAGGCAGCTGATCGATGACTCTCTCTCATTGATGTTTCTAACTCTCTATCTCTCTCCCTTCCTCTCTGTACAAAATCAATAAAATATATTTTTTAAAAAAAGTTTAAAAAGGACTGAAATAATACAAAACATGTCCCCTGACCACAGTGAAATTAAATTAGAAATCAATAACAGAAGAAGCTATTAGAAATTCATAAATATGTGGAAATGAAACAACATTCTCCTAAATAACTAATGGGTCAAAGAAGACATTGCAAAGGAAATTAGAAAACACTTTGAAATGAATTAAAATTAAAACACAACACAAAAATTTGTGCGATGCAGCTAACGCTATGTTTAGAGAGAAATTTTAGTTGGATGTGACTATATAACAGAAAAGAAGATCTTACATCAATAGCCTAACCTTTCATGTTGAGACACTGTAAAAAGCAGAACAAACTAAAACTAAAGCAAGTAAAAGTAAAATAATAAAGATTAGAGTAGAAACTAATAAATTAGAGAATAAAAAAATAACAGAGTAGCCGAAACCGGTTTGGCTCAATGAATAGAGAGTAGGCCTGCGGACTGAAAGGTCCCAGGTTCGATTCCGGTCAAGGGCATGTACAGAGATTGTGGGCATATCCCTGGTAGAGGGTGTGCAAGAGGCAGCTGGTTGATGATTATCTCTCATCAATGTTTCTAACTCTCTATCCCTCTTCTTCCTCTCTTGTAAAAAAATCAATAAAATATATTTTAAAAAATAATAGAGTAAATCAATGAAACTAAAAGCTTGTTCTTTGAAAAGGTTAACGAAATTAGCAAACCTTTCGCTAGATTGACCAGGGAAAAAAAAAAAAGAGACTCAAATTATGAGAATCAGAAATGAAAGGGGGACCATCACTTCTGACCTGACAGAAGTAAAAACAATTATAACCCTGGCTGATGTGGCTCAGTTGGTTTGAGCATTGCCCAGTGCACTGACCAAGGGTCATGGTTATTAGGTTGCAGTTCCCTCCCTACCTCTCTTCCTTCTCTTCCTTTCTCTCTCTCTCTCAAAAAAAAAAAAAAAAAAAAAAAAAATCAATAAAAACATATCCTCTGGTGAGGATTTAAAAAATTAAAACAATTATAAAGGAATACTGTGAACAACTGTAAATAAGATAAGTTGGACGAAATGGACAAATTCCTAGAAAGACAAACTGCCAAACCTGACTGAAGGAGAAATAATCTCAAAAGACCTAAACAAGTGATGAGATTGAAATAATAATAATAATAAAATATGCTGAAACCGGTTTGGCTCAGTGGTAGAGCATCGGCCTGCGGACTGAAAGGTCCCAGGTTCGATTCCGGTCAAGGGCATGTACTTTGGTTGCTGGCACATCCCCGGTAGGGGGTGTGCAAGAGGCAGCTGGTCGATGTTTTTCTCTCTTTGACGTTTCTAGCTCTCTATGTCTCTCCCTTTCTCTCTATAAAATATCAATAAAATATATTAAAAATAATAATAAAATAGCACAGAAGCAAGGCCCAGGCTCGGATAACTTTACCACTGACTCCTAGCAAATAGTAAAAGGAGAATTAATATAATTCTCCACAATTTTTTAATAGAAAAATTCCAAACTCATTCTGTGAGGCCAGATACCAAAATCAGACAAAGGCATAACAAGAAAACTAGAGCCGAGACCGGTTTGGCTCAGTGGATAGAGCATCGGCCTGCGGACTGAAGGGTCCCAGGTTCGATTCCAGTCAAGGGCATGTACATTGATTGTGGGCACATCCCCAATAGGGGGCGTGCAAGAGGCAGCTGATCGATGACTCATCGATGTTTCTAGCTCTCTATCTCTCTCCCTTCCTCTCTGTGAAAAATCAATAAAAAATATATTTTTTTAAAAAAAGAAAGAAAACTAAAATATGGGATGCAAAAATCCTCAACAAAATACTAGCGAACTGGATCCAGTAGTAACACATAAGAATATTCTATATAACCCAATTAATAAAAACAAGCAAAGATCTGAATAGGCACTTCTCCAAAGATGTACAAATGGCCAATAAATACATGAAAAGATGATGAACAGCATTTCCCACTGAAAGGGTAAAAGAAAGTAAAACGGGGCAGAGGAAACTTATTGTCCTTGGTAGATATCTTGCAGAAAGCTTGCTGAGTTGAGCTCTGCATAGCCTACATCAGCGGTCACCAACCTTTCGGACCTCACGGACCACCCGTTGGTGACCGCTGGCCTAGATAACCAGGAGACACCTGGCACCAGGAGGAACATAGGACGAGACCGCCAGTCAAGCTCTGTGTGTCAGCAGAGACTGCCTGCAGCCAGCAGAAGCTGATAAAAGTCTTGCTTCCCCCTTCAGTGGGCGCTGACTCCTTTTTCAGACTCAGCCTGTCTGCAACCAGACACTTGAAATAAAATTTCTTTTGATACATTACAACCTCATGTCATAGGTGCATGACCCTGACTACTCACAACCTTTTTTCCCATCAGGGAAATGCAACTCAAAATCAAAATGAGATACCACTTCATTTCCACTAAGATGGTTAGAATTATAAGTCAGATAACAGTAAGTGTTGGTAAAGATGGAGAGAAACTGGAATCTTCACACACTGCTGGTAGAAATGTAAAATGATGCAGCTGTTACAGAAAACAGTGTGGTGGTTCTTTGTAAGATTAAAGAGTTATTATACTATATATATGACCTAGCAAGTCCACTCCTAGTGATTTAACCAAGAAATAAACTTGTACATGAATGTTTATGGCAGCTTCATTCATAATTGCCCAAAAGTGGTGATATATTCATAATATAAATTATTATTCAGTCACAAAAAGGAATGAAGCACTGATGCTATAAGGCTACACCTTGAAAACATTATGCTAAGTGAAAGAAGCCAAATACAAAAGACCACATATTGTATAATTCCATTTATATGAAATGTCCAGAATAGGCAAATCTATAGAGACAGACAGTAGATTAGTGGTGGTTTATGGCTGGGGGTAGAGAGAATATTGAAGAGATAACTAAAGGGTACAGGGTTTCTTTTTGAGGTGATAAATATATTTTAAAATTGACTGTGATGATGGTTATATACATTCAATTCTTTTAAAAAATATATTTTATTGATTTTTTTACAGAGAGGAAGGGAGAGAGATAGAGAGCCAGAAACATCGATGAGAGAGAAACATCGACCAGCTGCCTCCTGCACACCTACCACTGGGAATGTGCCCGCAACCAATGTACATGCCCATGACCGGAATCAAACCTGGGACCCCTCAGTCCGCAGGCGGACGCTCTATCTACTGAGCCAAACCGGCTTCGGCTACATTCAATTCTTAAAAATAATTGGATTGTATACTGTTTAAATGAGTGAATTTTATGGTATGTGAATTACACAGAAATAAAGCTGATTGATAAGTAAATAGCATCCCTATAAAAATGCCAGTTGGTTCTTTTGTTGTTATTGTTAATCCTCATCCATAGATATTTTCCCCATTGATTCCCATAGAGAGTGGAAGGGAGGGAGGGAAAAAGGAAGGGAGGGAGAAATAGAGAGGGAGAGAGGGAGAGAGGGAGAGAGAGGGAGGGGGTGGGAGGGAGCGAGAAACATCAATGTGAGAGAGACACATCGGTTGGTCACCTCCTGCATGTGCCCTGACTGGGCCAGGGATTAAACCTACAACCCTTCCATATGCGGTGTGTGTGTGTGTGTGTGTGTGTGTGTGTGTGTGTGTGTGTGAGAGAGATACTCTAACCACTGAGCACATCAGCCAGGGTGCCAGTTGGTTCTTTTTTGCAGAAATCAACAATCTCATCCTAAATTCATATGCAAATGCAAGGGACTCAGAATCATAAAACTATCTTGAAAAAGAACAAAGTTGGAGGACTCACACTTCCTGATTTCAAAACTCTCTACGAATTTATAGTAAGCAATACAGTGTGTTTGTTGCTGGCATAAGGAAAGATATAAAGATAAATGGAAGAGAATTGAGAATGTAAAAATAAACTCCCACATTTCAGTCAATTAATTTCTCAATGAGTGCCAAAACAAAGCAACAGGGAAAGAATAGTTTTCAACAGTGAACAGATGGCTCTCCACATGTAAAAGAATGAAGTTGGATACTATACACTACTGGAATACAAAAATTAACTGATAATGGTTCATAGATTTAAATATAAGAGATAAACCAGTCTTCGCTGGTTTGGCTCAGTGGACAGAGTGTCAACCTATGGACTGAAGGGTCCCATGTTCGATTTTGATCAAGGGCATATGCTTGGGTTGCGGGCTTGATCCTAGTAGGGGGAATGTAGAAGGCAGCCAATCAATGATTCTTTCTCATCACTGATGTTTCTATCTCTCTCTCCCTCTCCTTTCCTCTCTAAAATCAATAAGAAATATATTTTTTAAAAGGGCAAATAAGCTGAATAGATATTTCTCCAAAGATATTCAAATGGCTAACACTCGCATGAATAGGTACTCAACATCATTTACACCAAGGAAATGCAAATAAAAAACATACACTCAGTAGGATGGCCATAAACAATCCAATCAAAAAATGGGCAAAGGGCCCTGACTGGTTTGGTTCATTGGATAGAGTGTCAGCTTGCGGACTGAAGGGTCCCAGGTTTAATTCCGGTCAAGGGTATGTACCTTGATTGGAGGCACATCCCCAGTATGGGGTGTGCAGGAGGCAGCTCATCAATATTTCTCTCTTATCAATGTTTCTAACTCTCTATCCCTCTCCCTTCCTCTCTGTAAAAAAACAACAACAACAACAATAAAATATATTTTTTTTAAATGGGCAAAGGACCTAAATAGACACTTTTCAAAAGAGGACATATAGAAGAAGGCCAAGAGACATATGAAAACATGCTCGAAGTCACTAATCGTCTGAGAGATGCAAATCAAAACAACAATGAGGTACCATCTTACACCTGCCAGAATAGCTCTCATCAACAAATCAACTAATGACCAGTGCTGGAGAGGATGCGGAGAAAAAGGAACCCTCCTTCACTGCTGGCGGGAATGCAGACTCATACATTTTTAAAAAAAAATTTTTTATTGATTTTGTACAGAGAGGAAGGGAGAGAGATAGAGAGTTAGAAACATCGATGAGAGAGAGTCATCGATCAGCTGCCTCTTACACACCCCCTACTGGGGATATGCCCGCAACCAAGGTACATGCCCTTGACCGGAATAGAACCCGGGACCCTTCGGTCCCCAAGCTGACGCTCTAAACATTGAGCCAAACCGGTCTCGGCCAGACTCATACATTTTAGAAGCCTTCATCCATCAAGGTAGGTAAGGGGCACGCTACTCTTCAGGGGCTGGCCCCTTGGACACTTGACACCTCTATGGTCTCCGAGGCCCTCCATGACCTGCCCTCGGCCACCGATGCAGCCTTCTTTGTCTTTATAACAATTTTTGTCTTAAAATCTTATCTTGTCTGATAGCATAGTCACTCCAGCTCTCCTCTGGTTACTGCTTATATGGAATATCTTTTCCTACCCTTTTACTTTCAACCTATTTATGTCTTTGAATCTAAATGTGTCTCTTGTTGCCCGGCCAGTGTGATTCAGTGGTTGAGCATTGACCTATGAACTAGGAGGTCATGGTTCAATTCCCAGTCAAGACACATGGCCAGGTTGTAGACTCCATCCTCAGTAGAGGGCATCATTTATATTTCCATCTCTCTCTCACTCTCCCTTTTTCTCTGAAATAAATATAAAAAATTAAAATACATAAAAAGATTGTTAAAATGTGTCTCTTAAAGACAGCATATAGGTAGAACTTTTTTAAAGATTGATTCTACCTATCTCTGTTTTTTTGTATGTGTGTAGTAAAATACACATAACAATATTAAAGTAAACAATTCAATGGCATTTAGTACATTCTCAAGGTTTGCAACTATCACCTCTATATAGATTTTAGAACATTTTCATCATTCCCAAAGAAACCCTAGATCCATCAGCAGTCACTCCCATTGCCCCCATCCCCCAGCCTCTGGCAAGCACTTTTAATATGTGGTCTCTGTGTCTGTCCACTTCCATTTAGCATGATAACTTACAATTCATCCATGTTGTCAATTTGCCTCTCTTGCCTGGCATCAGCCCACCTTAGCCAGATGGGGCGCTCTCCTCTCTGACAGACACCAGGCGTTTTCTCACAGGGCTCTGGGTGCCTGGTTTTGTTGAGGCCCCAACCCACTTCCGTTTTCTGTTCAGTTCAAATCTCTGCATAATAATAGTGACCACTACTGGGCATTTAGAACAAGCACTACTTCCCATGCATTATCTCATTTACTTTTAATTCTTGCAACAATCCTGGGAGGAGAAAACCATCACCATGTCCCCACCCTTTCCAGTGGGAAGTGGCAGCGTGTTTGGTGCCCCACATACCTATGCCTTTCCCTGATCCAGTCTGCCCAAGACTGGCAAGTCCCCACTTTCTGACACGGTGACACCGAGTGGGTTCCTTAACCTTTCTGTGCCTCCATTTCCTCATCTATAAATTCGGGATAATAATAGCACCTGCCTCTAAGGTGCTGTGAAGATGAAAGGAGCTAACGAAGATAGGTATCTAGCTTACCTGGTAAACAGTGAGCCCTTCCTTTCTGTGCCCGCCATACCCGACATACTTACTGTCTTACTCTCTGGCGGGGTGGTCTTGGCTAGTGGCCTCCCTACCACCAGTCCTGCCTCCTTTGCTGACTCCTATCCCCTGAGGCCAGGCCAGCCTTCTCTATGGTGGCTTAGCTCACATCCTGACCCTCAAAGGAAAGACTTCCCTCTGGCACCTGAGGACGCCTGAGGACCCTAGCCTGCCTTTCAGCTCATGGTCCATGATCCTCCTCTGGGGATCAGCTAATATGACTGCCCCTTTATGCCCCAGTGTGCCTTGTGCTGGTTCCTGCCACTTGCTCCTCTAGAAAGGGTCCCTTCCCATCTGTCTGTCACCTTTCCAGAACCATCTCAAGTGCCTCAAACCTGACTCCTTTCCTCCAACGCTCTGTTCCAGTTCTCTTTATGGCATGTGCTTCAGAGTGGCTTCTCCATGAGAGGGATGTTCTCCATCAGCCCCTATATATCCACCCAGATCCCCATCATGTCCTCGGGGTCCGGGCAGTTGACCCACAGGCACTACTGTGCCCTCTAGTTTGCAACCATCACTTCTATCAATGGGAAAATGTCAGGAGAGAGGGCAGGTTATTTATTCCCCAAGATGCAAAGTCTACTCCAGGACTACAGGCTTTGATGGATAACCATGTGCTGAACAGGGAGACAGGAGAACACATGGTCCAAGGCAAGCCCTGGGTCAGAGGCCTCAGCACCTTCCCTTCTCCGCTGTCACTTGCTGCAGTACCATCAGCAAATTAATGAACATTTCTGAGTGTCAGTTTCTCACATATAAAGCTCGATAATACTACTTCCCACTTTTCACAGGGCTAGTTCCTGTAAATTTTCATCCACTTGCTTTCTGTCTGTCACCCTTGCTAGATCAAGAACTCCTATTCACCATGACTACCAGGATGCCTCTCTCATGGGAGGTCCTCAATTATTTTTATTGAGGTGAAATTCATATAACATACAATAAACTACATGAAAGAGAATAACTCAGTGGCATTTTGTGCATTCATAATGCAGTCATTGCCTCCATCCAATGCCAGAACATATCCATCACCCCAAATGGAAATCCTATAACGAATAAGCAGTCACTCCCCATTTCCCCTCTGGACAGCCCTGGCAACCACCAATCTGCTTTCTGGCGCTATGGCTGTGCCCATCCTGGACATTTCATACAAATGGAATCACACAATATGTGGTCTTTGTGTCTGACTGCTTTTCTCAGCACTTGACGATGAATGCAAGCTTGGAACTTTGGTTCTCCCTAACTCCCAACTGGGGACGGCCCATCACAAGGGGACACAGGGAATGGGGGGTGTGATGCCGGGAAGGAGACCAGGTGGGTTACCTTATCTAAGGCTTCTTCATTGCCCTCCACCATCTTCCGGAGCTTTATCATCTGCCACAGTTCCTGGGCAGGCCGGTTGGTCCCTTGGCTGCCTTCCAGCAGCACGGTGGTGGAAGGCATCTCTTGCAGTACGGTCAGCTGGCTCTCCACCTTCTCGAGACGGCTCATCACGTGATCGAAGACGTTGCTCAGCCTCTTCAGGGGGTGGATGATGGGCTGACCATCTCCTTCCCGGGACATGGACATTCTCGGTGAGGTCTGGAGGAAGTCCTCCTCCCCTGTGAGGACCTTCTTGAGCTCAGCCATGTTGATGTGCTCCAGGATGCCATGGAGCACCAGTTGCAGGGCCTTGAAGTTCACCACACCATACTGCGGGATGGCAATGTTGACCAGCTCAGAGAATGAGAGTGAGAAGCTCATGTTGCCAGGGAGTTCATCCACGCTGGGCTTTGGGGTATCCAAGCTGGGCTTTGGGGTATCCACGCTGGGCTTTGGGGTATCCATAGGTAGCCTTCAAGCTGCACAACAAATGTTCAGAGACCCGGAGAGGCTGTAAGTCACGACAATCAGGGAGAAAATGGCCTCTGTCCTGGCCAGAGCTCAGATGAGAATTTTTGGTTGCTAGGATACCAAAGAACGTGGCAGTGGGCGTGCTTCCGAGGGTCTGGAATGGGGCAGGGGAGGTACCCAGTTAATAGTTGATGAATGTTTGAACAAACAGCTGTTTCTTTTAATTCAAGTCCTTTGATTATGTAAGACCCAATGATCCTTTCCAAGAAGCATGCCGGGAAGGTGACAGATAGGCAGCTCGCTCCTCAGAAGTCTCTAGAATCAAAACAGAAGAGTTCTTGGAGTTAGAAAAGCCCAGGTTTCAGGAACGGAACCTGAAGAGCTGCTGGTTGTGGGATGGTGGCCAAGGCCACACAGGTGTTCGTTTCTGGACCGGGAAGGTGAAAATTGTGTGAGGTAGTGGCTTTCGTCAGGTCTGAATTCTGAATGTCCCTTCCTCCTGCGCCCCCCACCCCCACCCCAATCCCAGAGACATGAGTGACCTCCTGAACCCTGCTGTGCTCCTCCTCGAGCTGGGACTCATCAAGACCCCAATGCTCTAAAAGCCTTAAGGACATGGCAGAAACCAGTTTGACTCAGTGGTGGAGTGTCAGTCTGCGGATTGAAGGGTCCCGGGTTCGATTCCGGTCGGGGGCATGTGCCTCGGTTGCGGGCACATCCCCGGTAGGGGTGTGCAGGAGGCAGCTGGTCGATGTTACTCTCTCATCGATGTTTCTAGCTCTCTCCCTTCCTCTCTGTAAAAAATCAATAAAATATATTTTTTAGGAGGCCAATGCCTTATCCATTAGGCTACTGGGGCTTCTAATAAAATATATTTTTTAAAAGCCTTAAGGACATGGTCATGAACCAGCTGCCGCAGAACTTGAAGGCTAACTGGGCTGCAATATACTCATGCCCTTGCTTTTGTCAATTTTCAGGCAGGAAAATGGCAGCCTGCTGGTCCTGGTTTCCCAGGGAAGTCTGTAAGGAAAGCCCTGACTCAACTCCAGGAGCCCCCACTCCTGGCTCACCCCAAAATTCTTGGCATATAGTACACACTGTTTATACATAGCACATAGCATGAGCCTCCCCCAACACACACCTCGCCCCACCACAGGGGTTGTGTTGGCTTCCTCACAGAAGAGACAGTAGACTCCTGTCCACTTTGGGTTCATGCACATGACTTTCTCAGCAATTGTGTGACCTTGTATAGATTACTTAACCTCTTTGAATCTCAGCTTCCCTGCCTGCTAAGTGGGAAATAAAGCCTCCCATGTGCAGTTGCCAGGAAGCAGTGTGTGTGTGGAGGGGGCCTTAGAGGAGGGGAGGAGGGGCTATAGAAATACTCCATGTAAAGTGCCAGGGCTGTGTGGACCCAAAGACTTCTTTCCCACACTTGACCTGGTATCCTAGTGTTGCCAGTGATCATGGCCAAGGAGCACAGGAGACCGAATTTAATATAGGGACCTTTGCAGGGATGTTGTTTACTACTAACAGGTTCTTGACCTCACATCCATAAATGCTTCTGCTGAGGTCTTTACTACTTTATCTACAAAACCTAGTTCTTCAGAATAACAGAAACTGATGCTGAGACTCTGAGTGCTACAACACTCCGTTTCTTCTCTTCAGACACTCTTCAGAACTGCTTAATTCCACTGAACGAATTTACTCACCTTGAGAGGAAAAAAGAGGCTCATTCCTATTGTGATAAATATATACATTCCCAGTTCTGTCTGGGCCCTACTTAGATATTACTTCTTCTTGTGGCAGTTTTATTAAGATACTAAAGGCCTGGTGCACGGATTTGTGCACCGGTGGGGTCCCTCAGCCTGGCCTGCACCCTCTCACAATCCAGGACCCCACTGGTGCATGATCAGGGCTAGAGAGGGACCGTAGGAGGGCTCTAGGGTGTGTCTGCCCCATCTTGCCCAGTCCCCACCGGCCTGACCCCAGCAGCAAGCTAACCTACTGATTGAAGCATCTACCCCCTAGTGTCAGTGTGCATCATAGTGACCGGCTGAACAGTCCAATGGTCACTTAGGCTTTTATATAGAGAGACAATTCACATATCATACAATTCATCCATTTAAAATATATAATTCAGCCTTAGCCGGTTTGGTTCAGTAGATAGTGTCAGCCTGTGCACTGAAGGGTCCCAGGTTTGATTCCAGTCAAGAGCAGGCTTGATCCTCAGTAGAGGGTGTGCAGGAAGCAACCAATTGATGATTCTCTCTCATCATTGGTGTTTCTATCTCTCTCACTCTCCCTTCCTCTCTGAAATCAATAAAAAATATTATCTAAAAAAAAGTATACAATTCAATAACTTTTATTATATTCACAGAGTCATGAAATTGTCACTACAATCTACTTACAAACATTTTCATCATCCTAAAAAGAAATGCTGCATTCATTAACAGTCATTTCATTTCTCCAACTGCCAGCCCCTGGCAATCACTGATGTGCTTTGTGTTTCTATGGATTTGTCTATTCTGGACATTTCACATGACCAAATATGTGGCCTTTTATAACTGGTTTCTTTTATTTAGCACAATGTTTTCTTTCTTTTTTTTAATATATTTTATTGATTTTATACAGAGAGGAAGGGAGAGAGATAGAGGGTTAGAAACATCGATGAGAGAGAGTCATCGATCAGCTGCCTCTTGCACACCCCCTACTGGGGATATGCCCGCAACCAAGGTACATGCCCTTGACCGGAATCGAACCTGGGACCCTTCAGTCCCCAAGCCGATGCTCTATCCATTGAGCCAAACCAGTCCCGGCTATTTAGCACAATGTTTTCAAGATGCTTCCAGGTTGCAGCATTATCAGCACTTCATTTCCTTTTATGACTGAACTAGAGGCCCAATGCACAAAATTCGTGCAAGAGTGGGTCTTCCTTCCCCCAGCTGCCGGCACTGGCTTCCCTCTGGCACCCTCACCTGGGCTTCCAGCTTCACCTGGAATATTGCTCTAAAGGATGCCCGGCCTAATGAGTATATTACCCTTTTATTATTATAGATAATATTCTAATGTAGGGACAGACCAGTTTGCATATCCATTGCATATCCACTTAATGGATATGAATCTAGAATCTAGACCAATTCTACCTTTTAGCTATTGTGAACAATGCTGCTATGGAAAGTTGTATACAAGTTTTGTTTGGGTACAAGTTTTCAGTTATTTCGTGTCTCTGCCTAGGAGTGCAATTGCTGCATCGTAAGTTAACTAACTCTACCTTCAGGGTCTGGTGCTACACCCAATAGCCAGTTCTATTTCTGATAATGGCCAATGTTACAGGTAGCCAATGTGTTTTGTCCAGAGTCTTAGAGCAACAGCTGCCTTATAAGAGGACTCGACAACTCACCCTGCAAGACAGCAGAGGATCTAATCGCAGCCCAGCTATGACAATGTTCTCTGAACACTTGGTATTGACAAAGCTCTGGATATAGTAGATGAGTGTTCTGAGGACTGCCTTCATCCACCCTTAGCTATGAGAGGGTGGGGGTGAGGGCAGGCAGCTCCTGACAGTAGGAACTGGCTAAGCATCAGAGGTTCTGGAGTTGGCTTAGAAGAGCCTTGGTACACTCCAGTAGACACAGTTACACAGAACAGCAGACCCAACAGGGCTGCTCTGCTCCCACAAAAATCCAAGATAAGATCAGTCATAATTAGGGCTGAACTCAGACAAAAATAATAATACTGTCCAAACCACAAACATGACCAGATAGCCCACTATCCTGGCTAATACAAGTGACCACTGCTTCTTGAACAACCAAAACTTCACCTGTGTCATTCCTTCTGACTTCTAGATAAAACTGATTACAGCATCCAATTACAGAATCAGCCCTATTTCCTGACAGTACCCAATCCAGAACCCTCCCTCCAGTCACCTAACATGGGCCAAAATCCCATCCTTTAAGTCTTTCTAATGTAACACTCTTATGAGATGTCCCTGGACTCCCCACTGTGTCATAAGACTTGAAAATTCAAGGGTTGCCTTGACCTCTTTGAGCTTCACCGGACCCTTGAGTTCCCCAGGTCTTTTTGGATGTGCCCTCCACCCCCACCCAGCAGGAAAGGCTCCCTACCCAGCTAGTTCCCCCACCAGCCAGACCAGCTGCACTCCACCTCAGCTGCAATCTGAGGGGCTTCAGTTCCCTGCCAGTTTGTGAAACTATTCACACGAGCCAATCACCTCCTCCTGGAGGAACCAGGGGGCGCCCCACTCCCTTATTACAAAGCCTGCAGCCCACAGCCCCTGCTGGTTCACTCTGTTCCTGATGACACCCCGAGTGGCCCTTCCTGCTCTGTGAGTATATGTGGCTAATAACTGCTGTTCATCTTGCTTGTCACCAGCAGAGTGAAAGGGGCCCATCAAAACCATGGTATGTATCCTCCCTTGTAGCAACAAGTCAGTAAACCTGTGTTCAATCTTAGTAGGTTCCTGATGGTCTTGGTTGGAGAAGCTGACCCTGTAAACTCACACACACACACACACTGCAAACTCACACACACACACACACACACACACACACACACACCCAAAAAATAAATAAATAAATAAAAAACTTGCAGTAATCAGAGCTTTTTGAATTTTGGAACTGCAAAGGACTGTGAGCTGTATTATTATGGAATCATAAGCAAGATATTCCTGCTTTGGCAAGATACGATCAGGAAAAATGTGTAGTTTAGCACAGTCTCACAGCCGGAGAGATGAGTGTGAGGTCAGGCCGAGGGGCTCCGCAGGAGCCTTACAAAGAAATGTGAATGATGGAATGTGAGGCAATTCTTGGTCACTGGGGGCTAGACTGTGTAGGGGAAGTAATGACTTTGTCATTCTGGAGAGATGGCCAGCCAGCATCTAAAACCAT